ATTCTTGGGATCCAAATTCGCTGTAGGTGAATCAACTCGGCAGTCCACTTGCCCTCGTGCTCTCAGCAAGCAAGAATTTTGGAGATTCACCAGGTTTCTGTTGGTACCATGCTAATGTCCAATCACTGGAATCATCTGTTCTGCAGGAGATCTTAATGTTTTCTCCCAGTTTTACAGTCATTGCTTTCTCCTGTGTAATCACAAGAGCCTCCAAACCTGTTGAAAAAGAACAAAAATATAAAACATTTTGCTTTTCAGAGTTTTCAGAGTTCTTAGAGTTCAGCAATGAACAGACTGAGATGGTTTTCAGATGTCAGATGCTTAAGTAGTACTGAAGATGTTGAATAGTCTTACCAGAAAGAGTGAACAGGAGGAGCAGAGTGAGAGAGGCAGCATTGAGGATCATGATGATCTACTCTAAAAGATCACAGATGAATCTTTAATGTCTCTTCAGAGCCATGTTTTGAATTGTAAATAAAAAGGCTATATTTGCAGTGTAGACATCGACCTCTGGTTCCCATCACCACCACTGTAAAGAAAAAGAGTCAGTAAGTTTCTCTACAATGAACCATTTCACATCAAATCACTCTGGATGACTGTTTATGTTTATCTATTAAGATTTAGCTTCTTGATGAATCTGTAGAAAGCAGTTTGTATAACGATAATGCTTGTGTTAAACTCTCCTCCCACTTCATTGTTATTTGCAGGCCTGGCTTTAAAAGATGCTTACAATTTTAGGTACAGCTTCAAGAGTCAGTATGTACATTTACACAGTTGGGTTATGATGAAATAATACTTTTCCCTTATGATTTATCAGATTTTCCTTTTTTTATTCTGTTTCATACTCACTCTGCATATCTTGAACTGCTCATCACAAAACCAATTTTAAACATTTGAGAAACCATTTTTAACACAAAACAATATTTTTAAGAGGTTTAACTCAGGAATTTGTATAAAACAGATTCATGTTTACTTTTACATAATTAACATTTTACGTCATCTAACAAGATATGTATTTTATTTAAAAAATCCATTTGTCACAGAGATTTTGGTCACTGGTGTTATCAGGACTCAACACAGTTAACACAGTATTTTCAGCTCTATTAAGCTGCTTCTTTGGATCGAGGCTCATCAGAGAGGAAGCATCTCAAGGCATGAGAAGGCGTGTCCACACTTGCTCACTATATTTCATTAATTTATTAATAATTACATAATTACATAACTTCTATGTGTCATCAGTGTTATATGCTTTAATAACTGGATAATTAACATTTTGTCAAAATAATGCGATATATCATTTATATTACTGATTTTACATAGTTGCACAAGGTCATCTGACCATCAATGAGTCAGCCAATTTACAAAATCCTCAGTTTTAACCAGAATGTCACTGGAGTCACAGTCACTGTGTTACACCATATTCATATAACACCAGTGACATGTAGTGACACCAGTGACTAATGTCAATGTCATGAATTATCAGAACACTTGAAAAAGTGGGAAATGCAGAAATTGTAGCTTAATTAGTATTTAAGTCTGTTAGTGCTTATTTCATCATGTTGCCACCCCTGGCTAGGTCAGACAAACAGATTGCAGGAGAGAGGCAGAGGCTGTATAGGTAGCAAAGGTAGTATTCAGGTAAAGCTGCTTACTTGGCATAAAAAACAAGAGATGTACCCTCCTCAGTCCTGAGACTGGACAGTTTAAAAACAAGTAATGTTTTGTTTTGAAACGTGTCCTCTGCTGCCTACTGGTAGTGGGTAGCGCTGTTGCCTCACAGCAAGAAACGCCTGGGTTCTGTTCCCTCGCAAAGGCGACTGTACGTTCTCCCCATGTCTGCGTGGGTTTGGACTTGTGACCTGTCCAGGGTGTATTCTGTCTTCTGCCCTATGGCCGCTAGGATAGGCTCCAGCAACTCAGAAGGATAAGCAGTTTAGATAATGTGTGTTTACTGGGAAACACGAGGCAAGCACTGAACTTTTTCTGTGTTTACTGTATGAACATTTGCAAGAAAAAGTTTCTGAACTCTTGGAACCACCTGGACTTCCGCAGGAAAAGCTCCTAAACTATTAGACAACTGTCACTGGTGTTTCAGATTTGTTATGAAAAGTTGTTCTTTTTGATTAAATATTGACTGTATTAGCAGTATCTTTCTTGAAATATTAGAATGATTGATTTTTGCACTGATTTTTTATCTCAGTAGTTCAATTTCCATGTTTGTTGCACAACAATGTATTTATTTATTTATTTATTTATTTATTTATTTATTTTTACAAAATAGTACATGGAGTTACATTAAAATATATTTACATTTTTGTATTTTATTTAGTGCATGTGTATAAAAGAGCTTTGGTAATATGATTATTCAAATTGAATTTCTTAAATAAATACAGTCATATTACATGTTAATGAAAAATAAATACATTAATCACAAAAAGAATGCCTCCATAAGGGGTAACACCAGTGACAAATCAACTAAAAGTTTGCATTTTACAATAAAATAAATTAAAATATGTTTGTATTAAGCTCTCCTTTTTGCTTATATGATAATAGGAGATGTTAATGGACATATTAAGATTGTTTAGTTTTGGGATGAAAGAAATTGATTTTTTAAAAATGTATCCATATGAATTTCCACTCCAGAAGGAGAACGACCCATATTTCTTTTTCCAATCATGACCAAACAATAGGCAGATCATTCACACATTTACATAACAGGTTAACATAAACTCAACAAAAACAAAACATGTGCATCCGCTCTTGACAAGCAAAATATTTACTGAAGTGAAGACGACATAAATTAAAATTGTACGGCTGAAAAGTGCAAACAAATAAATAAAAAAAAAAGCAGCAAACTCAGAATACCAAATCATGAAGCATTCTAGCTAAAGCATTCTGGCACAGCAGGAGTGGACAATGTTTTTTTTTCCACTGTTAAGTTACTTTACATGAGCGACAACAACAAGATTAAAACACCTGTCTTATAATCAGCGAAGCTGCCTACACCAGCTGAGAGAGTGTAGAATGCAATGCGGTGTGTTGCGATGTGCCATTTTGGACTTCCTGAAGGTTTTGCAATGTGATGCGATGCTACGTTTGAACACTCGCTTGCTGTTAGGACAAGATGTTAGCAGAGCCTGTTTATGAGGAGCCTGGCCTCTTCCTATTTCCCCCGTTTTATCAAAAACATGAGTGCAAACAGCAGAGGGCGCCTGCGAGCGAGTCCTCAATGAATAGAAGTAAATGGAGCTCAACGGCTAAAAACGCAACATTAAAATAGTTTATAATCCCTCGTCCAGAACTTTCCTTTAATTTTAGAAAGTAGAAGGATGTATTTCACTAAAAAGGTAAGAAAACGAACCCGTATGTTTCCTTTTATCTACAGCAAATGGGTTTTGGGCAGCAGGACACTAACATTGCTGCTACTAACTGCTGATTGGTTGGCGAGCGGAGCAGCTCATTGGCTGTTCGCACTAACAAACGTCATGAACGTACATGAGGCGGCGTATAGCATAAATAGCATAAAACATTTTATCACTGCTGTGATATTTTTTTAAAGAGCTTTTAAACTCAAAGTTTAAAAAGTTTAAAAGCTCATAAATATAAAAATATAACAGCAGTGATAAAATGTTTTATGCTATTCAGTGTTCAGGAAATGAGTGTATCCTTTTACATGTTTAGCAAAATGTTTTAGCATTTATAAACTATGATTTTACTGAAATGCTCCATATTAATCCATTCATTTTGGACTCGCTCGGGAGCGCCCTCTAGTGTTTAAGAAACCAGGAAGACATTACAGAGTGGGAATTCTCCTCTCTACAAGTTCTCTGATGTTAGTTTTTACTTTTCCTACTGTGATGCTAGTAAAGTTCCCACCACAAGTCAAAACAGCTGTTAGATGATTGTAATCACTTGCAGGTGCCCCCTAGTGGCTTGGAACCCTGGACACACACCCATACCAACCATTGAATGAATGATCCAGTATTATGGTATTTTGGAAAGGCTCTGTATGGTTCATTATTGTTTAATAAATTTTTTATTGATAGCCCTTTTCTGAAAATTCAACCGACGCCTTTTAAAACTCTTAAACTGCACTTCTTTTCAAAGAGAAGGAATTTTCACTGAAACGTCAGTATTCTCACTACACAGAGGTAGAAAAAATTGCAAAATAGTGTGTAGACGAACAAACATTTATATCTGCAGATCAAAAGACAGGTGTACATAGGAACTTTTATCATGTGCAGGAGAAACATACTGACTTGTAACTGCAGCAGGTTCTTACATGAGTCTGTGCCATTTCAAAGCAGTAGGTCTAAAGATGATCTACACTATTTCCCCAAAGTGCACTGCTGCTCCCTGGTGGACTGCGAAGGTATTACAGCTCCACATAGATCAGACCTGTTCATTGTTTTCTGAGATTTTCTAGAGTTCTATACAAAAGGCTGCCTTTTTATTTTCAATTTTCTATGTATGATTAATTTTATGTATCTTGCTTTGTCTGTTTTCCTGTCTTAGTAACAGCTTCTTGACAGCTACACATCCTTTCAGACTCATAGCCCTGAGTTGTCTTCTCACAGTGGAAGGACGAACAGAAACACCTGTGGATTTTTTCAGATCTCAGTCAGAGTGGGGCTTGATTTTCTCCTCTTTCTCAAAGATGAAAGTGCTGTTTGTCTGTTTTGGTGGTCTATCAGGTTTTGCAGGCTGCTATCAGGGTCCTCATTTTCTCTGGAGCTTTTGATCAGTTTTTGAACTCTAGTTTTGGAAACTCCAGGTTTTTCAGTTATTTTCCTTTGATTTTCTCCATTCTTATGTAAGTGGATTATCTTATGTATTATCTCCTCAGAAATATCCTTATCCAATATCCTTAATAATTACATGAACTTCTTCAATGTGTCTTTTCAGTGATTACAGACATGTATTTTTTTTTTTAAACAGTTAAATAATGAAAACGAGTTTCTCTTTCGTCACACATAAGACATAAGGAAAGGACAGTGACGGATCATCACACTCTGTTTTATTTGAATTTAAAGCACCGAGTGTTGGTTTGTTGAGGGAAACCTGAAAACGTTCAGAAAAAGTAAAAAATAATAAAAATTCAAGACAAATATACCGGTTACAAAGAACTGATTTAATCAGCATTAGAAGATACTGTCAAAAAATAATAACATGCACATACATACATGTGTAAACAGGTACAAAAATTGCTGGAGGACAGTTTCTCTCAGGGAAGAAAACGGAATTGACTCAGAGATGGTTTCCTCTGAAATACTGACCGTGGACTCACAAGGAAGCCTTGAGTGGAAATTTCACAATGCAGCACAAGTCATGTTCTGAACACTATTCTATAACGACAAGGCCTGGCCAGCTAAAACGTCTGCTGTAACTTTAGCCCACTGAACCAAAATCATGTTTTCAGAATGTGTTTCTCAGTTACTTGGTTAACTATGACCTCTATAAAAGTGCTGAAAAAATTGCTCAAGTCCAGCACTGCGTCCAGCAGAAACTGCAGAATTAGAGAACGAGGATCTATTATAGCGAATATACACCACTGTTCAAAAGTTTGGAATCATTTGTCATATTAACCATTTATTCTAAATACCACAACATATAACTTAAATAAGTTACTTGACAAATCTGATTTCTGCAGTTATCTGATTATTCAAATGGTCATGTAAACAGCATACTCCGATCTAGAAATCCGATTAAGAAATCTGATAAACAGAGCTGGATTCTGGCTCAGTAATCAGATTTCTCAGTGCATGTAAACTCTTACTCTGTTTCTTTCGGATTTCACAGTCTGTGCATGTGCGAAAACAGACTGGAAATAGGCAAGCAGTGTTGCCGCGAGACGCACCAAAACGCTTATGGAGCGACACTGAAACCGACTACATGCTTGACGAAATGAGGAACTTAAATATTCTTCATATTCTAGATGATGTATGTTCATATTTTCAGGTAAAGTGGCGCAAAGTTTGAGGCTACGTTATGTTTACGTCACGCATTCTTCAGTGAGTCTACTGGCTGGTTGTAAAGCAGAAATCTGACAACTGCCTGACTCATAGGGACCCGGAGTTTCCCATTATCTGATTACTCAAGTGCATATAAACACATTGATCCAATTACTGACAAAATCTGATTTTCTGCAGTTATAGGATTATTAAGTGCATGTAAACACACTCAATGGTACTTTAGATGTTTAGATGTCCACTATTTCCAGAATTCTGTGAATGAGAAGTTATTCAATCACAAATAAATTGTCTTGAGGTTTGATCTCCACTTCTGAAATAAGAATTCTGAATTTTAACTTTATTACAACTTCCTCAATGCTTTCACAATCATTTTATAATAATCTACAACTTTAGTCATCATTCTGGACACTTCTTAGTGTCCTTCTAATTACTGGAAAGCTGAGAAATTGCACAAGACTAACATGGTAGTATCATGTCATTCATGTGCAAAGAAATTGGTTTATCGGTTCTACTGAAAACATTGATTCCAAACTTTTGAAATGTGTATATTACAGGCAGAGATGACACTGATCCGATATCAGGTATTGGTATTAGGCTGACATCAGCTGAAAATCTGGATCAGCCACCAGAGGGAAAAGAAGAATAAACATGATTCAATCCTGTAACAAATCTTGCCTGAAACACTTCACTGGGTGATGTCATGTTCTTCTAGTTAAAGGGCACTGAGTGGGTTGAATGACCATTTCCAACCTGTGTTTATCCCTTAGAACTAAACAGGATGTTTTTGTTAATATGTCTTTAAGACTGATTATATGTAAATCAGGTCTGTTCTTATTGGCTGCCCTCATTTAAAAAGCAGTCCAGGCTAAAACACTGTTTATAACTTCAGCATCAGTGGGCAGGCTAAACTGCTGTAGGCTAAAAGGAAGATCTAAGTAAATGTATTGGTTTTTGTGACATCACAGAAATGACGAATTCAAAACAGGCTGTTTAACAGCTTGGTTTCCATGTATGGACTGGGGAATGAACTTTAGCGATGTTTATGGATTATATCAAACTCTTATTTTAAAAAAAGTGAGGAAGCTTTGTTTTTGCATGATATGGGCCCTTTAAGTATGTGAGTAGTTTAAGAATTATAGCCTACTTTTAAATGAAGTGCTTCATTTAAAAATAGCTCATTTTAAAGCTTAGGATACGTATCAGCCAAGGTATGGGAAAAGAAAAAGTGATAATGTGCCATCTCTAACTCCAAGCACTGAACTTTAGTGTTGCATTTTGGAGGAAAGAGAAATGGATACTTGGTTGAGTCAGTCATAGCACAACTGCAGCTCACTTAAAAAGAGGAAGGATTCTTTTCACTTACACAACTTATTCACATTAACTGCTTATTGTAGTGTGAGGGGCAAAAATAAAACGTACAAAGAGTTACAAAACTTTTGTGAATATATCGGCAGTAAAAAGTAGATACACAGCATTTTTGTGTTAAAATAGGAATATCTGACAGATTTTTTTTGGTTTTTTGTTGTTTTAGAAAAAATCCGGACTACACTTGACCATATTAACTGTAGAATATGTGCATGTATATATATATATTGCACTAGGATCAGTGATTAACTTGGTCCTCCCTTTTGGAGAGATGGACAGGTTATGTGTCCAATCCAGTCCATCTAAACAGGGCAGCAGAAAGCAGAGAATTCCAATAGAAAGCATGTAGGCATCTCAGAATACATGTGAGACTTTAACATAAAATGCACACGTAGGTTTGCGTGCTGTCTATCTTTTCACTCTCTCTCTCTCTCTCTCTCTCTCTTTTGCACTTGGCCTTCATCTCGTTTATTTTACTGGTCCCTTGACTCGTACAGCAACTTGGCAGCCTGTGGATGAAGCAAAATCAGAGAATTAAAAAAATTATCATAATAATTACAATCATTCAGTTATTAAAATAAGCATAAAGTACCCACTGCATCACACACAACTGCAGAAAGATATCAAATATTTGCAGTAAAGATGAATTAGAACTTAAAGATAAGAATATATAGAGGAGAATTTTAAGAGAAATATAAAAAAAATACTAAAATATGATTAATTAAAAGTAAACATCATATAACAAAATCACATGGAATAATAATAATAATAATAATAATAATAATAATAATAATAATAATAATAAATGTAGTTGAAAGTGCTTCACAGTACATTTATATAAGGCATTAAGAACAGCAAATAGGATGTAGCAGTAGCAGCAGTAATAATAATAATAATAATAATGATAATAATGATAATTATAGAAGCATAAAAACCTAAAGGGCCCATATCCTAAATCCATTTTTGTGGGTTTATGTACCAAAAACAGTTATATTTTTACATAACTATTTCCTTTCTTTATTAATTAAAATTAAACAAGCAGCCCTTAAGAGTGATACATGTTAGTTTCCATGTATTCCAGTTATACATGTTCCCATACATTGACTGTATAAACTGGAGAGCGAACAGCATGGTTTCTAACTTTAAAAATATTGACAAACTACATTAAACTCTTATTTCACAAAAACAAAGAAAATTTGGTTTTCCATAATATGAGCCCTTGGAGAGGCAAGTTAAAATGAAATAAAGTTGCTTCTGGTTTTCTATTAAAAACACAAATTGTATACCTGTCCATACAGATCACAGCATCTGCCTTTTTCAAACAATAATGCCTACATGCATGTCTGGGTACAGTTCTAACCCTAACCCTCATAGCCACTGGTATAGCCCGCATATCTATATATAGTCTATCGCGTGCTTGTCTATATGCTGAATAAGCTCATGTAAGCTCAATGTTTCCCAGCTTCACAGCCACATAAATTGTTAAAATGGCTGATTCAGTTCTTGGTAAAGCGCAAGCATTTTTGTCAATGATTTCTTTATGCTTTGAGGCGGCTGTTGCCTTTACTGGACTTCCCAGCTATAGACAAAGATCCGAAAAACTGATGCTCCCTTTTAAAAGGGCACCCTTGTTTTAATATTTTTAATATTAATATTAATATTAAAAATAACATAATTTAATAACATGTTCTCTTCTTTTTAAATTTGCCATAACCAAACATTTTAAATAAACTGTTGTTTAGATGTTGATATGTTTTTCTTTTGCACAAACTGCAAAACTGAAGGAGCAACTGACAAATGTGCATATTCCTTTGGAATAATGCTACACCCCACAAATTTTATGTAATTTAGCAATAACCTACTTGGCTATGATTCCAATTTAGATCAGTAGTTAGTTAAATCTGCCTGTGAATTCATTCGTGACACAGTAGGTGGTACAGCATGTGGGGTGTACCTTGTGCATGGCTGCTAGCCAGGCTGAGGCGATCCTTTTGTCATCGGCGGCCTCCATGCGAAGCTGCTGGGGGTCCTGAGAGCCGGGGGGCTTGTACTGCAGCAGCATGCCAGTGGCACGAGACAGACCACCTGCACGAAGAGGTCAAATGTCAGATGTGAGCGCTTCACCCAAAAGCTACCACAGACTGAAGCAGGAGTATGTTTAAGATGAATAATGGAAAATGCCTACCCAGCTGGAATGAAATGGAGAAATATTACAGCAAAATGAAACATCAGCAGTAGGTGGTAAAGCATACACTACTGCATTATTAATAAGAGGACATCAAAACTGTTACCGCTCACAATGCAACACATGATGATAATGCAGTCATTTACAGAAAGGTTGGCTACATCGGAATCCAGCCACAAAGGACCACAGTGGACTGTTCCAATGAGTCAAGCCATGGGCGAGTCACGTTAGGATGTGGCAAACAAAAAAGGGATAAGACAGGAGTTTTTTCGTAAAGGAATAATCCAAAGTCTCTCAACCTAATTGCTATCTGCCATATCTATATCAGGCTGATATTAGTCAGATTGCCATTTAATATAGTAATATTAATATTCATCAGTCCTGAAGTGGTTGGTGTCATTAATTCTGTTGATACTGGGAAACAAGTACAGTACAATAGTAATTTGCTTTATAAGCAACATTTCCTTCTCTAATTATCCATTAGCATAAAGCTAATTTGCGCATGTATTCCTATGAAAATTCGTAGTGTTGTTAGCGCCAAGCTAGTGGTGATGTATGATGATGCCGATTCTAGCTTAAACATGGGCACGTGAAGCTTGTAACAGACATACAACCATCATATTCATTATTCTTTAAGCAGATGCATCACGACTCTGTAAAGCTCTGAATCTGAAGTCTGTTTCTCAAAAATTATGGAACCAGCCTATCAGCCTATTAGCTACCTGCTCTTCTAATAAGGGCAGAATATAGTTCAGTTACGAAGAATATGAAGTGTAAACCAGTTAGAGAGCCTGCAGCAGCATCCAGTGGCGTTCATTTGGAAGCTATTTATTTGGTTGCCTTTTATAGACAAGGATTTTAGCAAAAACATTTTTTCATGCTGTGAAATGGTACTTGAGGAATATTTCAGGTGTCTTTCACTAAACGTATTTTAGCACTTTTTCAAATTAATATTTCATCTAATAGGAAGTCACTACATAGATGAAATTTGATTCTGGAAAAATTAAAAGAAGTCTTCATTTAAAAACAGCAAATTTTAAATTGTAATTGTTTAATAAAAAGAATTATTAGATAAGTGTTTGTACGGGACGATACCCAAGGTTTCAATATCAGTCTTGGCTCTTGGTACCAGAAGTGGTGACCATGATTACTACGATTTTACGATTTTGACCCTTCAAACCCGTAATGCCACCCTAAATCCCAGTTGCTCACATGCTGTTTCTATGACTCTAATAGTAGCCCTAGTTTAAATACAGCTTTTTTCGGCCAAGTTTCACTGACAGCTCTCAGGATAAAAGCTATTTCCAGCTACTGCCATGGCATAAATGTGTTCAACACCAAAGTGATGCCAGTGAATGCCAGTAATATCAGTAACATTAGCACTGGAGAACACCTCAAACAGACTAAACTGGACAGAGCTCAGCGACTGGAAAGCTCCAGTACCCCTCAAAACAAGGTGTAACGTAGTATGAGAGTGAAAGGTTGAGTTTTATTTTGTCCATTTATATGGCTATAGAAAAATGCACTGCTTTTTAAAAGGGATAAAAATATTTAAATTAGAGAAAAATGCAATTGATCACAATTAATTCTCCTGATCATTTGTTTTGAGACGATGTTTTTTCTGTTTTTTATACATACAGGGAAATTATTATCCATGATAAATCAATCACATGCTACAGACCTGGCAGATAGAGATTACATTGGAAAAACTGTATTCCTTTAACATGCAAATCATGCTGAAAGATGTACAGATCAATAAACAAGAAAGGAGCAATTCACAAAGCACAGATGCACAGCTTTTAATATGGTTGCCTTTTGTTTTTCCAAATCAGTAATGGTAGAGTTTATCACCACCAAATTATACTCTAAATATATCAACTATATTTAAAACAAAAAGATTGGGAAAGAAGGCAGACCCATTTAAAAGCAACCATAAATAGGGCATTGGACACAAAGAGAAAAAGACACAAAGAGAGAGATATGCTGACCTTCTGATATATAATCACTGTCCAGCAGAGTGGTGTAAGTATGAATATCTTTCTCTGGGCCCAGAAAAAACAGAAATCAAGCAGGCCAGAGAAAACAAAAATCAAATTTAAAAAAGGAAGCATAAGAAGCATTAATATAAAACACAACCTAAAGAGGCATTACACCACACATTGTTTCTTTCTTGCAAAGAAAAGCAGTGGTCACTGCAAGCTGCAAGCATAGAACTACCAAATTAGTAACATGTTATAAGCTAAATCAAGCAATTAGGTCATCCAACATTAAATTACAGAGGAAAGAAATTTCTAAAAGCTGATGTAACTGATTCTCAACTGATTCTAACATTGTTCTGTGCCAGTGTTGACATATGCCTGTGGGCTACAATGTATTTTTAAGCAGTTCATGGCTGAGGGGTACATGCACAGTAAGGCAAAACAGTCCTTAACGATTGCCCCCCCCCAATTTACATTCTTTTTTTACATCAACATTACATATGTAATGTGTAATGTAGGTTCCCTGGTGTTTTTAGATAGTAAATATAATGGCTATAAATTAAAATTTGCATTGTTCCAAACTCTGGTCAGTAAGTTTCTTTACAAAAAAACTTTTTACATCAAACCACTCTGAATGAGTTTGTTTACTTCTCAACCACTGGATTACAAAGACATGTTTAAAAATCAGTGGAATTCCCCTTTAAGAGGTAACAAAGGGCATGTTCTACAGCAAAACTTACTAAAAATCAAGCAGAATCTGTACAGTCATGCTGACTCATCATATTCCTTTTTAAACGGAGAGGAAACTGCATTCTGCAGATCAATAACAACCACAGGAAATCACAGCAGTCCAGGATCGATCAGCAGAGGAAGTCAAAGAGCTTTTAGAGTCTATTACTCTTTAGGTTCTCCCAAAGACTGTTACTGTTCTTTGGGCAAATACACAACCCAGTTTCTTTCTACTAGAAATGAAGTCCTATTAGCATAAAATGAGGCCTATATGGATTGACACACTTTGAAATTTGTGAAGACAATTGTAAGAATGTAAATTCTGTTTAATATTTAAGTGTATGACGTGTTGTCTTGCTGAAAGGTAGCTGTCTATGTATAACAAAAACATTTAGATTAACATATTTCACTAATGAAAAGCCTCCATTTACATTATGTAGTCCAGGTGTTAGTCAGGGATCAGTCTCATTCAAACAACTTTTAATTCCACCCCAGACAAAAAACTTCAGGTTCAGCTCAGAATTTCACATGCAAAAGTAAAGCATGTTTTGTCGATTTTCTAAGTGAAAGTAAGTCAAAACATCCTCTACATAAATATGACATTTTCCTGCAAAGTTTAAAGCACAAATTCTATATATTTGCTGAGTTTAACACAAAAAACAAAAAAATTAACATGAAATAGAAAATGTGCCATAACTTTTGCACAGGACATATGTTTCATTTTTTTCCAATATGCTACATTCAGCAAATAAACAGTAATTGTGCACTAAAATGTGCAGAAATGTGTTCTCTGTACACCTTTGCATCCAACTGTATATTAAATTAAGAGACACTGTGAACATAAAACAGAAAAACCTACAGTAGGAAGTCTATGTTATTCCTTTTCATCTTGACTATGCTGCGTGAGACTGGATTTCCATTCAATATCTACTGTCAACTGCCATTTAAATAGGAGCTTATTGATTGCATATTATGCCAGCAAAAATCAAATATACAATATACAGTTACACTAATAAACTTTTATTCTGCAATAGAATTAGCATGTCTGTAAGATTTAGCCATGAAAACATACCCTTTAGGCCCACCGTCTAAATAATTACTAATATTATATTAAACAAAAGTACACTATAATGAGTTTTTGAGTGTTTCTTTTTGAGCAATAGCCCATTAACTATCCAGACTTTGTGGGGCCTGACTTTAGCTGCTAACTCAGAAAAGCTACGTTTTAAATACACTGTCATATAGGTATTCCATTTACTCATTAATCTTTATATTTTATAAATGTGTTAACATTTATGTTGCTTGTCCCACAGAATTCAGAAAAATTTCAAGTTTTCTTGATGGCTTTAACGTGTTCAGGACCAAATAAAAGAACCGTATTGGAGCAACATCCAAATTAACAGACAAAGAAGATGCTAGTGTATAAAAACATGATGCCCAATATTCTTAATTTTTTTTAATATTACACATTTAAAATGCCATTGGGCTTAGTGGTTTATCCTCATATAAAATCAAATATATTAAGCATCTTGCAGTTCTTGATTCAAACCACATGAGGGCACCTACCAACTAACACTCATCTAACAAACTGATACGTTTTTAACTCGAGGAGGAAAAAAGGGCTGGTTGCCTTTAACCAGTGAAGAGGATGTGACAGTAAACTTGCCACAGTAAAAGTACTATCAGATCAAAAATGTTTTATAACACAGTATACATCACAGGTGTATTCAAAGGTAGAGAGTGCTTCTAATGGGGATTTCAACATTCATAATAAAGGTGCACACAGGGACACGAGTGTTGTAAGTTGAAATGTTAAGCAGTATTTAAGTGACGTGACAGGTGAAGTCATGCAAAGTTATTTGCCTTTTTTTTTTCTTTTTAATTTTGTTTGATAATTTACATCAATCAGAGCGTGTCACAGAGCGAAAGACAACAATATACCCATACAACAGTCAGATTAAACCACTGACACGCACCCTGATTTCTCTGCTCTCATCTTCTGGAATGAGTTGAATAATGTCCAATCAAATCGCTGATTTGTGGCATGGTAACTAATTTTGTCACGCCCACAGTGACGCACTCGAACACACACATAAAATAGATGAAGAAAAAAAAAAAGAATGTGAACAGTGGGACATCACTGCGGCTTTTTTAAGTTTAAAAAACAATATTAGACTCTTTTATGGCTTAGAAACCGCCTACAGCTCTGCACACGCTTTCCCATGAGGTTTCCGACAACCTGTGTGTTTTAGTGACGCGTCCTCAACGCACTAAAACAAGCAGATATAGCAGCTGCAGATACACAATCCTGAAATCAGCATCCCTACTTCTCATGTCCCTGCGTGCACAACAGAACCAAGTTCAAAATAATGTACAAAAACTAAATATCTGTGGCACTTTTTTGGGTTTAAAAACCTCTAATTATAACACGGCTATGGACAAAACAAAGCAGCACCCACAGAAACTGAATGAAGATATAAAGAGGTTGTTAATATTAACAGATTTATTCTCTTCCCTAATCTCAGCCTTACCTCCAGGTGTCGATCCTTCTGTCTGCACTTGCATAGTGGAGATTTTTGACAACTCCACCTCAAAATGGCTCTCTCCATCCAGGAACAGATATCTGAGGGAAGGACAGAGAGTCTGTGTTTAAGCTTTCTTAAGCTTGTTTAGGCCTCTGTGTACATGTGTACATGTGCGCAGGGATACCTGTGGTTGTTTGACAGACGGCACGCCATCGTCTCCGATTTCTCCGAGGAGCCTACTGTCACCAGGAACGTGCCACCTACAACAGCAGACACACAATGTTACAACAAAAGAAGGAATTGCAGGTATAAAGATATCCATATAAAAGTTTAACAGCCCATTATTAAACCTCAAGCATAAATAGAAAAGCAAAAGTACAGTCACATCTAGGGATGCACTGATACAGATACTGGCACTGGGCCAATTCCATGCTCATTTATTCATACTAAAAATTCACTGATGCCAAAATTCCGCTACCGCGTGATCACGTACGCTGCTGCGCAAATGAACAAACAACTAAAGCTGACAGTGAAGGAGGATCTGCTCAAACAGAGAAGTGTTACTGACACTGTGACGGTTGGACACAAAACCGTTGGTCGCTTTAAACATTTCACTTTGGTATATTCCTACCTGGAACACACTGTATGATTTAAGCCTGTTTTTAAACACACATGATCACAACCGCCTCCCCAATATGGGTGGAGAGAAGTAAACTAACAAACAGGGCAGAATAGGTCGACATTTCCTACCAAAGTCTGTACTGCATACTTTACGTTGTTTGACTGAGTAGAGTTGCGAGGGATCATTTTTTAAGCTTTTTTTGTGAAATAGACTGTAGAGAACCTGTACTGTCCTACTGTGTACATTAGCTAGCTATGCTATATTAGTTATCTTGGATCAGCTATGCGATCCAAGGTAACTAGTATAGCAGAGCTAGCTAATGCTTCATTTAAAATCAGTTAGATTTGAATGATTTTATGGTAATTCGTTATGGTATCAGACTCGTTATCAGCGAGTACTAAAAAACTTAGTCATAATCGGTCTGAAAAAAATGGTATAGATGCATCCCTAGTCATATCCAACATTGTTTTGTTTTTTTTCCCTACCAAAGACTGCTTAAGATGTTTGTATAGGTTTGCGTATCAAAAACAGCTGTAACTTAAAAATGAAGTCTATTTTCTTCGCCTCCACATTATTTTTCCCATGTTTCCACTTTTAAATGACTATATCTGTTCTTAAAGTGAAATGTACAAGTTGAAAAATAGGTTTTTCCTAGTTTTAAGACATCATCTGAATGCCACTTGAAAAACTCCTTATAGCGGCAATGTGAGTGGGCGGGGCTAAACTGCAATAGGTTATATAGGCAATGCGCTGATTTTCATGACATCACAAAAAAAAAAAGAATTCAAAACAGGCAATGTTAACAACAAACTTTCAAACTCAATTCTGCATAGAAACTAAAGTTCAGATGACATGGTAAGAAACGCGAGTGAGAGGATTGGATATTTTTCATTTATATCAAATCTGGGCACTGATACAGAACTCAGTTCAGTACTAAATCAGAACTAATATTAAAGCACTGACATACACCACAGACTGCCTAGTGGCTCTTCAGTTAATGGATTACTCATTACACAGTGTGTGTCTGCATATGTGTTCCATGGTTAAAGAGCAAAAACACACACACACACACACACACACACACACACACACACACACACACACACACACACAACCAACCCCAATGACTCTGCAAACAGAGTACAGCCAAAAAAAAACAACACCTCAAACTTTTTAACAGGAACAGCTCTGATACTAATACACTTTTTTATTTAGGGTATCCACATGTTCAGGCAAATTCAATTTAACACATTTATACCAGTTGCAATGCAATGTAAGACCATTACGCCACACAATGCAGTTGGCTCAACAAAGATAGACTCTTGGAAAATATTTTGCATTGGCTCAGGGGATCAAACCAGCGACCTTCTGATCTCAAGGCTGGTTCCCTAACCTTCAGCCCACGACTCCCCCCCAGAGAGTAAACTGGTTAAAAAAAATGAATGGGACAGCTTGTAATGCGCCCATATGTACATAAGTGTATACACACTAACAGTATTATATTTAAGATCTCAGGGGGGAAAACCCAACAATTTTCACAGACTTTTCAAAATCTTTGAATAATTTTCTCATTGAGACAGAAAGTAGAGTGGTTTGATATTGAAATGGTTAATTGTAGTACATTCCCAGATTTCTTTACAGTGGTGGTGCTAAAACCAGGGGTCACAATGTCTACATTGCACATAAATCCATTTTATTTACTATCCAAAACAACCAGTGAACCTACAAGTGTCTTCTGAGTTCTTATATGTAAATGGTAATAATGGTTAAACTAGTGGTAAATCTGAAAATGTTTTCTGAGAACGGAATAAAAAACATTTACATTTTAGGCCAAAACTTTCAAAAATATTGTAAAACAATGTTTCAGGTATTAGAGAACATATTCATCACTACTTTGTGTAATAGCTTTCTGTGAGGGAGCTTTTAGAGACCATATTTATATGGCAACTCAGGTGTCCTGGCCTGTGCGTATGCTTTGTCAGACTCACCAGCAGTGAGCACTTTGAGCTGTTTATCGTAGAACTCCACTTCCTTCTGAGAGATGAGGCTGCATTCCCCGCACTGCCTCACTGGGTCCACAAAACACATCCTGGGCAAAGCCACCTTCTTACTGCAACATTTATCACAGAAACACCGGCCACAGCGCCGACAGTGGTGCTGAAAAATACACGCACAGGATAAACACAGGGCACTCACATAGATAAATATGACAATAAGGCAAAAATATAACATCACAATAAATATTTGAAGATATTCTGAAGACACTTTGAAGACACTGTCACAAAGCAAATGTATCATGAGGTTTCAGAATTGATAAAATGCACACTCAAAAGTGTAGTGCCACATTTAAAAGGGTTTTGAAAACTATGAGAATAATTTCTTTTCATTTACTGGTAGCAAAACAAAAAAAATTAAGAAGAAACCAATTAAACAATAAGTAAAACTAATAGCATAATGGGTTGACATTTAATCAGCTCCTTGTTACTGAAGTTTATGTAACTACAAACTGGTTGTTATTGCACGATCACTAAGTGCACTTGCACTGTATTTGTATGGTGTTGCTGCTCCTACACCAAAATATTTTGCACAACTCAGTGATACATCCAGTTACCACTTACTTTTGATATAGCATGCTTCATGTTATTTAAACAGGCAGCTCATTTTTTGTTAAAGAATTTAAATAAGTAGGATGCACAATGATATCAGACTCATAATGGTAGTGGCAGATATTTTCTTAATTGGACAGATGTTCAACAAATAATTTAACCAATATTTGATTTAAATCATTACTACTGAATTCAGGAAGAGCAGCATGTTTAACCGATGCCAGGCTTTCTCACCAAAATGCCAGTACTTAATTAACTTTATTGCATTTGTAGCCCTACAGAAACATATTATACATCTCTGTAATGGCAATCAAGGTAGATACAGTCCCAATCGCTACATTTTATAAATGTTTTTGTATCCGCAGATATGTAGATGAAAAATTTTGAATATCAGCCCACAATCCCCATACCAGTGCGTCCCTATGTTAAAGGCAAATAACCACCTCCAATCAGCTACGTGTCACTGAGCAGTTTGTGTAGTACTTGGTGGCTCTCTATATTTGGTCTAAATCAGTTCATTTTTGTGATCCATGCAGTTCAGAGCTCTAGAAATGCTGTTGATACCCATGATGTACTTAGAAGTACATACTGTCTCGTAACTCATCACAATAACCACAACATATCTTCGTATTTCCCTCTACTACATATGAACGTGTGTATCTGCATGCAAGTGAACATGTGAATTTGTAAAATCAGCGCAACTTTTTTAGCACACATGCACACAACACCACAAAAAGGAAGTAGTGGAAAGCAGCAAATGGAATAAAGATGAATTGTGCAAAAGCACGACTGCAAAAACATGAGAGGAAGAAGAGATTCCAAACGAACACCAAGTTACTCAACATAAAGAAGAAGTAGACCCTCCAATCTTTCATGGCACTTGATGGACCTCACTTACTTTTCTGGTGATGAAGTCAAATTTTGTGTCACACTGCATACATCTGGGACACTGAAACAAGAGGGGAGATGTATTCTGTCAATAACCACTTGAGCTCAGAGAGAGTGCATTTTTAGTGCCTTACTTCGCTAACACATCCGCTTTAACCTCATTTTAACTGTGTTAACCTTTTATGAGGTTTGGTGAGTGGAATTAGGCTGTTAGATCAGGAAAAAAAACAATAAAAATGTGCTTATGCAGACTCCAGGAACAAGACTGAGAAACACAGACCTAGACAATAAAACCTTCCTCCAGGCTGACACAGCAAAACAACAAGGTCATTATAGTCATGACTCTTCAAAACAGCTAACCATAACCAAACCAGTCAAGAAGTTCTTCCACATGTCAGTACAAGTTTTGTGGTTAATGGTGACAAATCAAGGTGACTAGGTTTGTTGATTAGCTTAAGAAACTCCCTAAACAAAAGTTTCTGGAGGGAAAAAGTCAAATTAACATGTACAAAAGTTGGGACCACGGCCAAGAGACAGGGGCTTCACTATAGGGACATTATCATAAAGCTGAGTAAAGTGCAAACATATTTACTGAATAAAACTCAACGCCCACTTTTGAAAAAGTTAAGGCATTAAGTATGCTATTTAATAATAGTAGTAGCAATACATACATTAGGTGCTGAATCCCTTTTTTTTTAGCGTATATCAGATTTTTTTTCTTGATAAATTACTTTGATACTGACTGTAAAACTGAATGAGGCTTTTGGGAATGTGATATGTAGGCAGACAATAGTCAGGCTATAAGACCTGACCAGACTGACAAAAACAGATTTATTTAATAAGAACAGAGAATTAAATAGCAAGTAGTACTGAATGCATGTCATCAGATCAACAAATACTGACGCAATCCATTAGGGGTGATCAATTTAAGCAATAGAACACGAGAGGGAGTGTTTTAGCGCGGAATGACATCACGACTGTGATTTGGTTGCAGGCATGAGCCAAAGGTGTTAACACACAACCTCGAGTGTTCTATTGCTTTTATACAACAGTTAAATAAATAAAGTAAGAAATTAATAAACTGGGTGGTGAACGTGTCACTTAATATGTTTTAATGTTAACAATTCCTTCCGCCAAATTATAGTTCCTTAACAAGCAGCTTGTTGCAATGTCAGAGTAACGAGCTCCGCCCACTCGCTGCACAGCTGGCAGTTCGTTCTCCAGTTCCTTACACTAAATTCCCAAACTGTCATCACCGCTGACCAAGTTTTTGTTGCGGCAGTTTTATGGCTCAGTCTGATTTGGTCAGACTCTGAAGACGAGACTACACGTTTGGCGAATGGTACTTGGTTCATTTCTGGCTGATTCCAGGTTGTTTAGCTGTTCTTCTGTCACAGCTGCCAACTGAAAAGCTGCTCAGTGGTGATGACAGTTTGGGAATTTAGTGTAGTCTCATCTTCAGAGTCTGACCAAATCGGCTGTCGGTCTAATGTGATCTTAAAAGTATCTATTTTCTGTTTGTGGCAAATTAAGAAGTATAAACGTTCAAATGGCTTGAGCGTCTCCTACAGCTGTCACTCGTTGCTTAGCAACGGCGTCTTAGCAGAGTGATACAGTGTTTGTGAAAAAAACCTGTGATGTTATGGCAAAATAACAGCACGGTTAGAACGCTTCTCAACCAATCAGCTTGCGTGGTTGGAACTAACTGTTGTATAAAGGCAGACAATAAACAGGTTATAAGACATGACCAATTTGACAAAAACAGATTTATTTAATAGAAACATAGAATTAAACAGTAATTAGTACTGACTGCATGTCATCAGATCAACAAATACTGATACATTCCATTAGGGGTGATCAATACGACAATATTTTATTATTGTCGTGATGTCTCAACCCGCATTATCATTACAAAGTGAACATAATTAGACCTGTTTAAATGGATTCAGAGCAATACGGTTTGTACTACAGTGTTTTTACATATAATACTAAAGGTTCTATTGTGTGTTTTGACTTACTATCGTGAAAATGTCGTCAAATATCGCGATAAAGCAAATATTTTTGCCATATCGTCCACCAAATCAAGACTTCTGAAATCTAAGGCGCTCAGCCTGTTATTCACCATTACATCAACGCATGCTCAGCATACAATTAACTGACATAAAGTTTCTTATTTTCCATCTTTGATCGAATTATTTGAGAAAAAACGTGAACAGTCACGGTATTATTCTGATAACTAGCTGACTCTTCACAGCTACAGCTGACAGAGGCGGATTAGACTAGTTTAGCCAGCCATCCGAGCCTGTAATATTAGCTTTGTACGAAGCTGAAGCCAGCTTCTTCTTCGAATTTTTCCTTTCCACCTTAAATGGTGCAGCAGTTACATTAAATGGTGCAGTAGTTACATTAACTGCTGCCCCATTTAAGGTGGAGCGGAAAAATTCGAACAAGAAGCCAACTTCAGCCTCGTCATATTTGTTAAAAATGTATCTGTGAAACTTACATTAAATGTGCAGATATTTGCACAAAACGCATAGTGGCTACTTATTTAGATTACGATATAGTAACTTAGCAGTCTGTGTTTCTGCTTGAGAGACCGAGTTCTGTAGAGAGACTGGGACTGGCTGGCTAAGCTAGCTTAGCTAAACACCAACGCCCAAGGAGCAGCACCAGCTGCAGCCCGGAGTTGGAGCGCAGCGCTGCGGCTCCAGCGCGCTTCACCCGCCGCCGTTACCTCTTTATCCGGAACCCACTGAGGCTCGTCTAGCGAAAAAGGGCTGTTGAACGCTCCGTTCTCCGGTACCATGCGGAGTCCGCTCGGGCTTCGGACCAGCTTCTTGCCATCAGGCACCGCTGACATTTTTCCATCAAACTATCTGTCTGTCTATCGCTGTGAAGTGTTTTGTGTTTTTATTTTTTCCTCATACTGAAGTCACTCTTCAGGTTAAAAGTCCCACTCGCCAAACAGAGCAGTGCCGTATATGAAGGAGATTTAGAGCTCAGACCAAATAAAATAACATATAAATCGTATAAATCAACTAATAGCATAAATAATAATACTATATAATTTACATAATATGCAATATACATATACATGCTATGAAATAATTTTAATAATATCACGGTATGTCCTGCATTCACGCAAAATAACATAAGAAAAAATGCAGTTATTTAAAGAGGTCTTTGTAAATCACTCTTGGAGTGAAGTGGATGAAGTAGGAGTGAACTGACTGCATTAACAGCATTATGGATGTATTTAAATGCTGCTGTTACACCTGTGTATGTCACGGCATACTTGCACACTGCATGACTTTTGGCAAATCCAGAAGTTACTTGCTATATTTATTTAAATATTTATTTATTTAAATATTTATTTGAATTATATTATTTAAATAACCAGCTGATTTTTTTGTTTAAGACTTTAAAACGACGGTTTGCTGATTAAAGGGGAATTCCACCCATTTTCTTATAATTTCGAAATATCAAAATTAATCCATAATTCACTCATTGAGATGTAAACAAAGTCTTTTTTTGCTGTGAAATGAAATGGATTATTGCAAAGAAACCTATCGACAATTTCTTTGCAATATTGATAATAGTGGTGATGGGAACCATGCGTACAGCTCAAATTTAGCCATTTTATTTACTATCCCAAATGACCAGTGAACCTACATGACTGATAAGACTGATTATATATTGCTGCTGTTGGAACAAAACCTTATATCTCCATTTTTGTTGTTTTCAATTTTTTTGCATAATTTATAAATGCCTGTTGCCTTTTACGTTGTGTGTAAATTTCATGATAAAAAAAATTCTGGTATATATATATATATATATATAAATATATAAACAGCCCATTTCCAAGAAAGCTGGGACGCTGTGCAGAATGTAAATAAAAATAAAATAAAACCATAAACCATAAATTTATAACCATATAAGGAAAATACTGCAAAGACAACATATCAGATGCTGAAACTGAGAAATGTTATTGTTTTTTGAAAAATATATGCACATTTTGAATTTGATGGCAGCAACACGTTCCAAAAAAGTTGGGATGGAGGCCTGTTTACCACTCATCACCTCTTCTTTTAACAACACTTTGTAAGCGTTGAAGAACTGAGGAGACCAGTTGCTGTAGTTTTGAAAGTGAAATGTTTCCCATTCTTGCTTAACATAGGATTTCAGCTGCTCAACAGTTCAAGGTCTCCTTTGTCACATTTTTCATGTCAGAATGCGCCAAATGTTGTCGGTGGTGACAGTCTGGACTGCAGGTAGGTCAGTTTAGCACCTGCACTCTTTTAATATGGAGCCATGCTGTTGTAATACATGCAGAATGTGGTTTGACATGGTCTTGCTAAAATAATCAAGGCCTTCCCTGAAAAGACGTCATCCAGATGGCAGCATATGTTGCCAAAACATGTATATATCATTCAGCATTAATGGTGCCTTCACAGATGTGCATGTCACCCATGCCATGTGCACTAATGCACCCCTACACCATCATGAATACTGGCTTTTGAACTGTGCACTGATAACAAGCTGAGTGGTCTTTAGCCCGGAGGACACAGCGTCCATGATTTCCAAAAAGAATTTTAAACGTTGATTTGTCGGACCACAGGACATTTTTCCACTTTGCCTCAGACCATTTAAATGAGCTCAGGCCCAGAGAAGGTGGCAGCATTTCTGGATCCAGTTTATATATTATTTCTTTTTTGCATTTTAGGGCTTTAACTTGCATTTGTGGATGCAGCGGCAAACTGTTTTCACAGAGTGTTTTCACAGAGTGTTCCTGAGCCCATGCAGTGATTTCCTCTACAGAATCTTGTCTGTTTTTAATGCAGTGCCGCCTGAGGGCCCAAAGATCATGGCTAGCCAATACTGGTTTTTGGCCTTGTCCCTTGCATGCAGAAATTTCTCCATATTCTCTGAATCTTTTAATGATATTATGTACTGTAGATGATGAAAAGCAAAGGTCTTTGCTATTTTATGTTGAGAAACGTTATTCTTGAATTGTTGCACTATTTGCCCGTGCAGTCTTTCACAGAGTGGTGAACCCCTCCTCATCTTTACTTCTGAAAGACTCAGCATCTCTGGGACGCTTTTTTATACCCAATCATGTTATTGACCTGTTGCCAATTAACCATGAGATGTTTTATTTAGCATTACACAACTTTACCAGCCTTTCGTTGCCCCCTTTTTTGGAACATGTTGTTGGCATCAAATTCAAAATGGGCAAATACTTTTGATATGTTGTCTTTGTACTATTTTCAATGAAATATAGGGTTTAAATGAATTGCCTATCATTGCATTTTGTTTTTATTTACATTTTGCACAGCGTCCCAACTTTTTTGGAAATGGGGTTGTGTATATATATATATATATATATATATATATATATATATATATATATATATATATAAATAAATAAATACACAAATTACAATGATTAAACAGTGGTAAATTGGAAAAAAAAATGTGGGTATTTTATACATATACTGTATACATATACATATATAAATTGTCATACAATGCTGCTCCACCATGAATGAATGAATTTTTTAAAAATATGTTTTTATCTCAAAACTATCATAAAACAGTATCTCAGACATCAGGCAAAGGAATCGCTGTAAAAATAACGATCGGCACGTTTGTAGTACATACTAGTCACTGGTACTTTTCTGAGTGTTCAAATAGGTGAAGAGTTCATTTTTGTTGTTTTGTTATGGTGAGTAAATTGTCCTGTTATGTGTGGGGGTTGCGTGATCTCCGTTCCACCTGACGTTCAACAGTAAGGCTTTAACATAGATCATATCCATTTATAATTTATATACCAGTTAAATGTATTATTATTATTATTATTATTATTATTATTATTATAATGATTTATTTAACTTTTATGTTTTTTTTATTTTTTGAATTTTAAATTAATTTTACTTTGTTAGCTGTGTGTGGATGTACGTATTGTCTTGTCATTAGAATAGGTTCAATATAAATCTGTATGTTTAATTTCCCCAAAATGTATTTGGAGCTGTACATTTATATGGACACCCTAAAGTGCCATTGCGAAGAAAAACTGCAAAAGCATTGCGTTCACCCGCAAACATTTTGTGTTCCTGCATTTTCTCGCAAAAGTACAGAGCCCTGCTGGTGACATCCTGTATTAATAAAAATAATGAGTGGCCACGCCTTATTAACATGTGGGAACGAGATCCTAATGCGTGGCCACGACTTAGTAAGGTGTGGGAACGAGATTATGGCCTACTAAGTCGTGGCCATGCATTAGGATCTCGTTCCCACGCTTTACTAAGTCGTGGCCATGGCTTAATCATCCCATTCCCATGCCTTACTAAGTTGTGGTCACGCATTAGTTTTATTAATACAGAATGCCACCAGCCGGGCTCCGTACAAAAGTTATGCGTCTCCTTCCAATATCTACTACATTTGTAATATGTCTACTACACTGCGTAAGAAACGCAATCCGTACATTTACCCACGCACAAACAAAAACAAACAAACAAACAAACAGTCACTGGCTCGCACTGACTGGCTCAGTGTCTCCCGCTGCTGGTGGCCTGCAGGACTGCTTTGTTTCTTGGCCATGGAAATGCCACGGTGGCCTTCAGCTGGCAGTGTTAAAGGTGGATAAACTCACCGGTCCAGGTGGATGTTTCACAGCAGCCGGGAGTCGCAGGAACCGCCAGCTGTTCTGAGGACTGAAGCTCGTCGTCGTTTTTTGTAGCGATACATTTTCACTGTTATAGGTCACTTTATGAAACCTGCAATCTGGATCGCGGCGGCAGAAACAGAAAGAAGATAGAGGATTTCTCTAGGTCTTCTCGCGAAAAACTCCTCCAGTCCAAGAACAAGATGTTCTCAAAATTCACCTCCATCCTCCAACATGCGGTCGAGGCGGTAAGCTCCCGGACTGAGGTTAAGATGAGCTGTGTTTACATGACGAAGCGAGAACAATGTGCTACTGGTTTTGTTTGCCTTGCCGGACGGAGGGCCGTGCGAGCTAATTAGCTAGAAAACTAGCCTGTGGCTAACTTACCTGCCTAGCTTGACGAAGCTGAAGTCAGCTTCCTATTCTTTTCGCCAGCTATCCACTTCCAATTTTCCCGTTCCACCTTAAATGGTGCCCTGGTTACATCTCAGCCTAAGGCGCGAGAGTGTAATTGCTGCACCATTTAAGGTGGAACGGGAAAATTCAAATTAGAAGCTGACGAGTATGAAGCCCAACTTCAGCCTCGTCCTAGTAGACTTCATGTTAATACTGAGATAGCGTTATATAAAATATGAATAACTATTTACTCAACTGTTTTGATATTAGTAAAAGTAGTAACTTGCTACGTAGATGCCCACCTTCGAAGCTTATAATCTTCTTAGTTATTTTTAATGACAGCGTAGCTTAATCAAAAGCAGCTTGCTAATGCTAAGTTAATGTTAGCTGGACTCCTACGTTGCACTCGCAGCTTTCAAATAAATGCCAAGCTGTATACAAAGCCTAGTTAACCAGCGTTCTCTTTAGTTGTTAGCTAAATGTTTAAAATACATTAAATAACAACAATAATAGTAAACATAATAATTACAATTATTATAAATCCGCATTGGGGCTAAGCTAGCTGACTGGCCAAGTAGCTAGCTAACCTAGCTTTGTTAGTGAAGGTTGCTAACGCAGCTAATGTTATTTAGTTAGGTAGCTAACCGAGCATATTCACTGTCTAGTACCATACCTTATCGACTAGATACAACACCGAGATTAAAGTGATAAGGTAGTTTGTTTTGTAAAATTTTAGCTAAATAGCTAGCTAGCTTGTCATTGTTATTGTCAGGGCCTAGATATCTTGGCTAGCTGATAAGCTAACTTGGCTAGCTAACGTTAGATAACGTTATCTTGCGCAACTCTAACCAAATTGATTAGGTAGTGATTTGATACTGGTTAAGTTTTATGGCATGATTTGCTTTTGATATACAATGAATAGTCGTTACTCTGACTGACCGAACACTGAAACGGTATCTTAAGAATGCCGTATTAATAGTTATCTTGCTAAGGGTCTTGCTCTTCTCAACATTGTAAACATTCGCTGGCTGCTGTGACAGGGGAACCTAATACTCCTGATAAAGTATTCACCCTCGAGGTTCTGCCCAGTTCAGGGCAGGATCCATGTTTATTTTATCTCATTTATAACGGTACATTTGCAAGAGACGCCCAGATCAATCATATTTCTGAAAATGTCTTCAAGTCTGTCAGATATCTAATCTCTCAGTATAACCGAAACCCAGCAAACTCTATTGATTTGCCTTGTGCTTCAGTGTAGGGCTGGGCAGTATGACAATATTTAGCGTTATTGTGATAAATATGTGACGATATGCTTCTTGGTTTATATCGTTGATATTGTTGGTGCTTAAAAACCTTTACCACCTCCATGTTTGATTACAAAATGAGCATAATTAGTTCTGTATAGTCAGGTATAGTCCAGCACAGTATGTGAAATTGTAAATACAAATTAGTGTATTGATGTAATTTTTAATACCATTTTGTTAAATTTGGACTTTGTCTTTTGCAACTTATCAAATTCATAATCCAAAACACTGATCCTACACATGTCTTCTGACTTTATATTTGTAGCGCTAATAATGGTTAAATAGTAGTAAATATTTTCTTTGGAAGCTGTTTTACTTTTCATTCTGCCATGACTGTATTTTTAAACTACATTTTGGCCCAAAACATTTCCAGATTATCATAAAGCAGTGTCTCGGGCATCAGGTAGAGTACTCACAACTATTCGTTATTTTTTGTAACATAGCTTTAAGATTTAAACGCTTTGAATGTCTGTTTCCTGTCGTTACCACAGTGCATGTTTCTGAATCTGTAGGTTTCTCTTCGCTGTTAGAAATAAAGGTTCTGTGCAGGTATATTTTTCATCAGGGTACAAACAATGCAAATGTTCCCTCAAAGGTACAACAGTGGTTTTAAGGTCCGATTGTGTGCCTTAAATTAGTTTTTCCAGGTGAAAAATACGTATTTGTACCTTTTCATAACCTAAAGTTTTGAAACAGAACAATAAAATAAAAGCCTGGAGACAAGACGGGGTGTGTGGAGTCAGTACAGCTTACACAATATCATTTCAATGGATTATGGTACAGTTATGTTCCCTGACTAAAGGTACTGAGATGTACCCTTGAGGGTCCCACCCCAGTGACAAGAGGGGCACTGCCCCAGTGACAGTTTTGTACCTTTTTTTTCTGAGTGTGGAAAATGTTTGTACATTCTGGATGACTTTGTTTACATCTTAACTATTTAATGATACAGACATTTTGAAAAATGGGTGAAATTGTCCTTTAAGAAGATGTGTTGAATTTGAATTGCTTGAATTTTAATCTCTGTAACTGTTCCTAATATAGCATGACTGATGATCATGAAGGCTCATGTTTCTTTGCAGCTTGCACCATCACTGCCCTTGCAAGAAGACTTTGTGTACCACTGGAAGGCTATCACGCATTACTACATAGAAACATCAGGTATGGCTGATCTAAACGATTTCAAATACATCTACCCAGCTCATCAGCATTCACACCACAGTAATAGAAAATAAGGGCTGTTTTCTTAAACAGTATGAACTCACTAGTTTAAAGTATTGGCTTACAGCGTCCCCCATGATGTCATCAATCTCTTTTGATTGTGTTCACACAGTTAATCAGACTAACATTACTCTTTATAGATGATAAAGCCCCAGTGACCGACACCAACATCCCTTCTCACCTGGAGCAGATGCTGGACATCCTGATCCAGGAGGAGGGTGAGAGAGAGTCGGGTGAGACGGGGCCTTGCATGGAATATCTGCTGCATCACAAGATTCTGGAGACCCTCTACACTCTGGGCAAGGCTGATGTAAGCAGCATTCTTTTAATTGTTCTGGATAAGAATGGAAATTATCCTGGACGTTTAATTATTGATGAACGATTCTTCACCTGTTAAGAGCCCAGTTAAGGGGGACCTAACTAAATGGTTAGACTGGTAAATTAAGAGTAAATACAGCTTTGAACAGGTCAAAAAGAAAGCTGGAAAAGAGCCACAGCTTTTTTTATGGAAATGTTATTTTGTGCAAGGAGACTGACTGATCAGCAGAAGGCGCATTTGTAATTTATTAAGTGCCTCTGCGTACCAAGATTCCTTTTCAAGGAAGGTATTGCAAAGTAATACGCAAATGAACCCTCTAACCAGTCACAGTGTTTTGACAATGTGCTGGACAGTCTTTAATCATATCGCGTTGACAGGGCCTTTTTAATATACTGGAAAGAATATTACAGTCACAATATGTAGCGGTAAAATTCATTTATAACATTTGTGAGAGGCTATGTACAGTAGTGTGCAAAATTCAGAGAGCGTGCTTCCTTTATTTGATTTCCTGTCAAAATAGCCATTAAGTGCAAGTTATTGATTTTTCAGTTATTGAGATTTCTGAGGAGATTAGATATAAAACAATCAACTTGGAAAAATATTCCTGCTGATTTCTTTGAAAGCAAGTCTCCCCTAAAGAATGGAAGTTATAATTAAGGCAAAGGGTGGACACACTAAGTACTAAATAAAAAAAAATGTTGAGGCTTCTGTGTAATTTTCTGTTAAATATGTTTTCTGCATTTTGTCCCCCAACACTGAATGTAACAACTTGTACTTAATGGTCATTTAGACTGGGAATGAATTAGATGAAGGGTCTCGGCCTTTTTCTTCAGTACTGTATGTGTTGAAATGATGAATGTTTACTGGTTATTGTAACATTTCTCTAAATCTCTGTTCATTTAGTGTCCTCCAGGTATGAAGCAACAGGTTCTGAGCTTCTACACCAAACTGCTGGGTCGTATTCGTCAGCCTCTTTTACCTCACATCAACGTGCACAGACCTGTACAGGTAAGACATGCTCTAGCACAGAATCAGTTGCATTTTGTACTGTTTTTCTCTCTTCTTGTATACTTAAGCTTATAACCCTCATACTGTGTCCCCAGAAACTGATCCGTCTGTGTGGGGAGGTGCTGGCTGCTCCTACAGAGAATGAAGAGATTCAGTTTCTGTGCATAGTCTGTGCCAAACTCAAACAGGACCCTTACCTGGTTAACTTCTTTCTGGAGGTAGGCATCTGTTCAACTTGAACAATTTATAAACAGCATTAGATATGCTTTGTTACAGTGGATGTGCATCTGTTTTACACATTTTGTACCACTTTTTCTGGCTGTGTCAGTTTATTCATATTATTTGTTTGTTTTTTGTATCCTGTGTTGTCTGTTTATACATGCACCCATTCCACCTAGACATGCAGTTGCCCAGTAAAGTGATGCTTGTTGTGATATTTATATAAATAATGTTTTGATCTGATAGATTGCCCACTGTGTTAAGACCCTTTGGGTACTTGTTGTTGTTGTTGTTGTTGTTGTGAAAAAGAAGAAAACAACAACATCTTGACGCCTCTATATTTGCCTTCAATCACAGAATAAGGGAAAACGGGGGGACGGTAAAGACCCAGGAGCTGACGGGTTAAAAGAGGACCTGTCCTCTCCAGATACAGGACAACAGCAGAGTCTAAACATAGGCCTGGATGGTCCAGCGTGTGCTGCACGCAGTCCTGCAGAGGGAGCCAGTTGTCCTTCCAATAACAGCAGCAATTACAATCTGGTCAGCTCCCTGCTCAACCTCACCAAAAGCCCAGTGAGTCATCCTCGTTTATTCTGATGCCTGCTGAGGGAGATTTATGTGCATGTCCTAAAGAGCATGTGTGATACTGATGAGTTACTGAAAATGTTTAGATGATCATTCATGCTAAGCAGTACAGATCAGTGTTTTATTAATGTTTGAGTATTTAAACAAAGTTATTAAGAGTGGTTTGACGTGAAACGAGTCAGAGTTGTTCACAGTTGTGGTGATAGGAATCAGATGCTTGAAAGGTTTAATGCCTCTAAAAGCTACATTATAGAAAGATATTACGTGAAATAGTTGTGAATATGTTGCACAATGCCTGAGAAACCGTTTTTACAGTAGCTTCGAGAAGGTTGTGGCCTAAGCTTTCTTGGCAGAGAGGTACATGCAAGATGTCAAAAGGCAAACCAAACAGAAAATGTATGGGGTTTTTTTTTGGTCACAAGTTATCAGGTTATCACAAGTTACCATTATCAGTGTGTAAAAATTCAAAAGACATGTAGGCTCACTGGTTGTTTTAATTATTTTAGTAAATAAAGTTGATATATTTGCTGCAGAGATATCATGACCTGGTTCATGGTACTATAAAGAAATCTTTCGGTAAGTACAATGTGCCATTTCAGATCACTCTGAATGACTTTGTTTACATCTGAAGGTCGAATTATGCATATCATGATATTTCCTTTTAAATGTAGAGGCTGAAATACACTGATTTTCATTGCCTATTTTCTGCTAGTGAGTAGAAGCGTTCTTCTTGGCACAGTAATTTTAAAGATAATTCTGAATTTTAATGCAAGTGCGTGTTTAATAACATTCCATTTAAATGGTCTTGATTTATTTGGTTATTTTGTTTATCTTTGCACAGTGCTGAAAGTGTGTCTCTTCTTTTCTGCTAGGATGGCCGCATTGTGGTGAAAGCGTGTGAGGGGCTGATGCTACTGGTCAGTTTGCCTGAGGCTGCAGCGGCTAAGAGTCTAACAGAGAGCACAGATCTGTGTCAGCTGCTGACAGACCGCCTCGCTTCCTTCTACCAGGCTCTGCCACAGTCTATGGATCCTCTGGACATCGAGACTGTGGAGTCTGTCAACTGGGGGTGCGTTATGTTTTCAGATAGTAACTTTCAGAGAGTTAGTTCAGTTGTGCTAAAGAGAAAATATCTAGACATGTAAGGCGTGTTTCACACATACTACCTCTGCGTGTCCTGGAAAATATGTCAGCGTGACTGCTGTGGCTGTTTTGTTTATGAAGCTAAATGCTAGCGAGTCACTAGTAGCTTGCAGTTGCAGAGAGCTGTAGATGATCTGCACTGCATGATAGGGCTATACAGATGAGCTTAACATATGCGCAGGTTTTTTGATTGGCTTAAAAGTTTTGTGTAGTCATAAAGAATCTAAAACATGGCCACCACTTCACTTATTGACCAGAGCTGACCAAAAAGCTGTTTTTTAGTTTTTAAAACAGTGTGGTCAAAAGATGCTGTTTCCTCTGCTCTCCTGCACTAACCATCAATGACACAACTTGGTCAGAGTTGCCAGATTAAGGAGAATTCCCTGGAATTGCACAGTAACAATAATAAACTACGAAAAGATTAAAAATTTATTTTAATTACTTCATTTCTCAATGGCTATTCTGTATATGCCACTCCGCTTTTCCAAGTCTTCCACGCTGCTCATGAAAGCATGTGAGCGCTCTAACCTGTTAATATGGGCACCAAAATTAAAAGTGAGGCGTTTCAAGGGGTAATATTTGTGAAACCTAATAAATAGCAAATGTTTTGAGAAATAACACACAGAGTCTATTTGCATAAATTTGTAAATGTTTTAGTCACGGTGTCTGTGGGACCATGAAAGTCTTAACTTGTCTGAAGTTGCATTTTATATGTTAAAAGCCACATCACTACACTATACATGATTTGAGGATTTCTCTGGTGGAAATCTGTAACTGCACCCAACATGTGGAAGAACATTTGTACCGCGAGTTGTGCTTCAAATGGATGAATCTGATCATTGCGAGTATTCAAAGAGAACTGAGTCAAAAAATTATCTAATTTATGCTTTTTCTCCTTATCCCAAATGTAGTTAATCATGTTTGGTGTCTGAAAATCTTTTTTTGCACTGGAGCTACAACACGGATATAGCTTATGAGTAATGGAAACTTAAACCTGCAGTTAGCGTTGTGGGAAGTCCATGTCTAAATTACTGACGTACTGTTATCTATAAAATTAGACAGAAATATGTGGCGTAGCTACAAGCTGTACCTGCAGCCTTGTCATTACAGTTTAATTTTAGACTAGGCTTAATCTGTGTACAGGAAGTGACTGTCATACAGTGTTAGAAACCACATTAACAATCCTGTTTAAGGCAAATGTGTGATTTAGACATTCAGTTTGCACGATGCTAATTAGTGCTCTCAAGCTTCCATTACTCATTAGCTACATTAGCGTCATAGCTGTAACACCAAAACTAAAGAATCAAACTTCAGACAACAAACATTGACTGACTAAATTTGAGGTAAGGGGAAATGTGTGTAAAATAATTTGCTGAACTGTTCCTTTCATCAGTCTTTGAGCGCATGTCCACCCGTCCAACAGTGCTGCCGTTTTCTGAATCCAGATGACAGTTGATAAAAGTCCATTTTGTCTGTTTTTATGCAGGCTGGACGTTTATAACCTGAAGGAAGACGCTGCAGCTTTTGCTGGGAAGCGAGCACTCATTTCCTTCCTGTCTTGGCTGGACTATTGTGATCAGCTGATCAAGGAGGCCCAGAAGGTAACTTACAGTCATTCAAAATAAGAGCAGTCCAGAGATGTCTTATGATAAATTGTTTAAAAACTGGGAGCATCTCACACGTCAGTCTTGTACAGAAGAACGCTTAAGAAGATAAAGCAGGACGAGGGTATAAAGCACATTGTTCTGTGACAGATCTTGCAGTTATCACATGATATAAACAAAGCTAAACTGGACCGAAGTTATTTATGCTTTTACACACACACAGGAAGTGTAGCAAAAATGCAAACTGTAGATGAATGTGGTTGGGAAATGCGGATATTGTTCTATGTTGCAGTGAAAGCTGGATTTTACTACAAACTGCCAAGCTGACTTGAAATTGTTTAGGGAGTGCACTGATGTACTGGCCCCATACATTCAGTACATTATAAAGGCACTCGCACCTTACCAGCAGCCTGCCTTTCTATCTCCACGGTGCCCTGCTCACAGCTTATTGCCTGTACCACTCATTCAATGACATTGATTGGTGTTTCACACTAGAGGACTTGTGAACATTTTGAATAGGACTGTAACTATCATATTTTTATTTTTGATTTTTCTACCAAATTTGAATCACATTTGAATGTTCTTTAATTATTAAAGAGAGAAAATGTATTTTCTTAATCTTATTATTCATTGTGGTTACAGTTATTGTTATAATGCTATGATACAACAATTATTATTATTATTATTATTATTTTTATTTTTATTATTATTTCATTAATAAATAATAACAATATAACTAAAATAAGAATAATAATAATAATAGTTATAATGCAATGATACAACAATATTATTATTATTATTATTATTATTATTATTTTGGTTATATTGTTATTTATTAATGAAACCTAAAGTGCTAGAAGACAATGAAAAAACATGACTACTAAACAATTACTGTCAAAGTAAGTTTTAAGTTTTCTTTCTGCTCCGGAAGGCCAGCTTGTTAGCCAGCACTCATTTATTCTTAGAAATAAAAAAAAAACGTGGAGAGCATGCAATCCGGAGCAGCAGGAAAAGCATTTTGGCTAAACTCAGCAATAAAAACCAACATTATCACCTCAAATTAGAGCTCTTATACTGTCAATTAAGAATGTCTTAGAACATCAAGAGTCTTGACAGCCTGACCTCTAAAATGTGGCCAAAATGGTGGCTTTAGTGTGTAAAATGATAAGATAATGGGGTTAGATATGTTATGTGTAGAGAGGATAAAGATTCCCTGCAGGTGTGTGTTCCTTCCTGAGTGTCCTTCTCTGTTGCCCTGTAGACGGCGGCTGCAGCTTTAGCTCGAGCGGTGAGAGAGCGCTTCTTCATGACTGTGATGGAGCCACAGCTAATGCAAACGTAAGTGACCTTCACGCACACAGAGACGTCTTGACTGTGCAGTAATAGAGGTTTAATTGCATGTCTCTGCATGTGAAGTTCAGAATTTTCTCCTTCAGAGGCCATTTAGAAATATACTGGGATGGGCTGTTTTTTTTATAATCTGTTTTGTTTTCTCTGTTATTTTTCTCTCTTCTTTTTTGCTATCTCTGTTTTTCATCTCTTTCTCTTTTTTTTTTTTCTCGCTCTCTGTCACTGTTTTTTCTTTTTCTCTTTCTTCCCTCCTTCTCTGTCTGTTTCTCTCTCTCTCTCTCTCTCTCTCTCTCTCTCTCTCTCTCTCTCTCTCTCTACTGCTATCTATTTTTTTTCTCTCTCTCTCTGTAACTCTGTATGACTCAATCTGTCTTAATCTGTCCATCTATGTAGGTCAGAGGTGGGTATCTTGACATCCACAGCGCTATTGAATAGGATCATCAGGCAGGTGACGTCTGAGGCCTTACTGCAAGAGACGGTCTACTTCCTGTTGGGAGAAGAAGTGGGTCCTGAGACAGCTGCCAGCATTACCCAGATCCCCCTGAGACACAGGCTAATAGAGCACTGCGACCACCTCTCAGATGAGGTAGACCCCTCCAACATACAGTTTCATGTACATAAAATTATGGATCTTACCAGGATTCTGATTAGAATTCAGTTTAATAATTTTTTCTATTACTACAAAACCCTTCAGTTGTCATATTGAAAAAGTCACTGAAAAGTTTAAACATGACCTCATTCAGCACATTCTGAAAGAAAAATGAGCTATGAGAGGAGAACATACAATATAGTCTAACGTTCATTCACCTGGTATTTTAAATTAGTATAAAATGGGTTATACTTTGTGTAGTTTGTTTCTAGGAGCATATGAAAAAAATAAATTAAGTTACATCTGCTATTATTATGATCAACTTTTAAGCCCTTAAAGCTGGTATTGGCCACTAAATGGTCTTGTTGGCCTGTGTGTTATCTGCAGTTTGTTTCATCTATAGGCAGAATATGTAGTGTAAGACTGTTTAAGTAAAGCATCAAAGGTTAGAGTACTGAACTTTTGTAGTATTATTTGTAATAATAATGTATAGTTTTTTATTTTATTTATTTATTTATTTTTGTAGTACAAAACATTGTGCAGCACTAGTGATGATCATAGATCTACACACTCACCCCACCTCCCCCAAACCATTTCAGAAATTGCTCATGGGTTTATGATATTCAACATTCATAGACTTTGTGAAGAATTCTGGTAACTTTGTGAAGAATTCTGGTAACTAGTTAAATTTCCTGCTTTAATTTAGCTGGTCCTAACTGACATGACTTTCTGAGCTTTTTTTGACTTCATAGGAATCAGTGGTTTTTATTATCATTATTATTTTTTTTTAGCATATTTGACGTTTTCAAATATTGCCAGTGTTAAAATTATCCTGTTTGGATACTGAGAGCTGAGCACGGATGTACACAAACACGTTCAAGTCTAGGCTTTCTTTTTCTTGAGGTGGGAAGTCATCAAGTTGAGTAAGAACTAAGTGACTGTTGCTGACTGTCTCTGTGCAGATCAGCATCATGACCCTGCGGCTGTTCGAGCAGCTGCTGCAGAAGCCATGCCAGCACGTCTTGCAGAACCTGGTGCTGCGCAGCCTGGACGAGCGCAACTACATCGAGAACAAAGCGCAGGAGGAGCGCGAGGAACGCGAGCACATGGAGAACGGCCAGCCACACGATGCCGTGTAAGGGCTGCTCAGAATGGTTCTTCAAATGTGCAGTGTGATCATGAGACCGGAGCTTCAGTGATGCAGCCCAGCAGCCTCAGTGATGCAAATAAAACTGAACTGCAGCATGAATGTTGTCATAATCCACATGAATTATTGACCTATCACTTAAAGTGACAGGTTGGCAAAATATCAAATTTGTTTTCCCCTTTTCCACAAATGTAGTCCAGCAAAGGCATGTTTAGTGTCCAAAGTCTGCTTCTTTAGAAGCTTTGAGGCTAATGTAGTTAACGAGTGCTAATGGTTTTCAATTAGCATTGTGCAAAAAAGTCATCATGGCTAAAATAGCACTCGCAATCTTGAAGCAAGAATTTTGTCTATACTTCAGTCAATTTTTGTAGATAACAATGTCAGAAGTTACATAATGCTGCAAATTTCAGGAAAAAACAGGAAAACTGAGAATTGCGACTATTTGAAAACTCTGAGTTCTGCATATGACATCAGCATGGCTGCTTACACAGTCAACAGTAATAAAGTACCACTTTTTATACTTTTTAATGAGATTATAGTAGTGCTGTCAACATACAGACAGAGTAGTTGGTTAAATCTATAACAACAAACATGAAGTTCACTGTTTTGAGAAGATAAATACATCATGAACATTAAATAACTGTCAGCTGGCTGTCTTACCGCTAATGATACTTGCTTTCGTGGAGGTGTCCGCGTTTTTCCCACTAAATCGAACATGTTGAGGTGAAAAATGATGTCTCTGAATTCTCACCTTCGAGTTCAGTAAAAAGCAGCATTTGCTTCTATTATTTGTTATCTTGTGTTTTGTTGATTTTTCTCATTTGACCTGTCCTCAGACAGGGAACGCACTTTAAATATGGCATTTATTGTACATTAAAATGTGCAGAAGTATGTTCTGTGTAGAGGATGTGTTAATTTCATCATGCCATTTGGTCAGGGGTGCCCAAACTTGCTGATTTGACTACATTTGGAGTAAGGGGGAAAATTGTCAATTGTCAGTGTGATAATGTAAATTTGTTGTAAATATGGCTGAATTTTTCATATATAAAGTGAATTCACAAGTGAAAAAGCAATGGCATGGACACACATACAGTATGCATAATAACTGTTTCTGACATTCCTATGTATACATTCTTAGCTGTATACAGTTCATATGGTGCTGAATCTGTGTAATAGATTAATTCTGGAATAAGCTCTCCATGAAAGTAGAGCAGGGAACAAAATTTGGAATTCCATGGTTATAGACGGCCCTTTCCTGTCAAAGTAGGCGGTTATCTGTCACAGTAAATAAAAGACACACAGACTCTCTGAAGTTTGAGAGTGAGAATAGGTGCTTACGATAAGGAGGTCGTCAGCATGAAACCGTATATTGTCATACTATATTAAAAAGAGTAAACTGTAATGTTCTATGGTATTATCACGTTTCCTCATAATTCATATGGTGCGGTTTCTGCGTTTTAGGAGGTCTTGCATGCTCATGTTTTGCTATAAATAATATACATTCTTCTAAATTACTTTAATTAAATTTATTGATATCTGCAGCTGATTTGCATGCACACACATGCTTCATGATGACTCAGATGTTCATATAAATATTTTTGCTTTTCTTCTGGTTGTCTCACCAGTGATTTAGAAGAGGACCCACTGTTCTCAGACCTGTCTCCAGACACCAGGCTCTCAAGCCCTGATTGGCTCAGCTGCTCTCCCCCACAGAGTACAGAACACACAAAGCCTGATGGGAAAACGGAGGTTCACAAAATTGTAAACAGGTTTGTAAGCAGTTTCTGTATTCTGTGCCTAAATCTGACTGTTATGGTAAATCATATGAGGAAACTTTGCTTAGTGCCTTGTAGGCCTGTTACAATTATTACACAGTCGCCTCATCACAGTTATTTAAAGCCACAAGATTTGAAGGAGAAAAAAAAAACATGCTAAAATATGGTGTTAATGTGCTGCTGCGAGTTGCTCAGTAAAGCATGAAATAATAATTTAATGATCATAATTTAATAATCATATAAATGTAAATTGGGTTTGCATCAGTTGGGTTGAGACTAATGCATGCATGTCATGGGTCTTGTGAAAACAGATTTGTAACACCTTTAGAAGGCAGCAGTGAATAATGATTGTTTATTTGAGCTTAAGCTGTGTCTGTCATCAGTTAGGAGCTACTGAGTACTGACAGCTAAGAAGCAAAACTTTAGACTTGAATAGTTGCATTAAATGAACAATTAACCTGTTAATCAAATATATTCATATGGCAGTTTATCGTCAGCCAAAATGTTCATGATTGTGACAGGCCTAGTGGCTTTGTTTATGCAGATGTAAGTGCTGATGTTTGAATTCAGACATGACCATGCCTTCGTTTCCATGGTTTTTCAGTTTCTTGTGCTTGGTTCCGGATGAGGCTAAATCGTCCTACCAGGTTGAAGGCACTGGCTATGACACTTACCTGAGAGATGCGCACAGACAGGTGAGTAGTATGATCCTCACACTCACCCATCCACTTAAAGAATCTGCTGTGTTTATGTGCTTTAGCTATGACAGTTCCATGCCAAAAATGTTCTATGCCTTTAAGAATACAGAGGGTTTTGTCCAACACCCAAGCTATAATTTGCCATGATTTTAATTATTGTTTTTGTGTGCGTGTGCAGTTTCGGGACTACTGTGGCATCTGCCAGAGGTGGGACTGGCGAAGCAGCCCTAAGCCCATTGAGAAGTGTAACCTGGACAGGCCTTTCTTCGAGGGACATTTTCTCAAAGTACTGTTCGACAGAATGGGTCGCATCCTAGACCAAGTGAGTTTGTGTGTTTGCCATGAATACATGCGTTGTTCACTTTTCACAAGTGGTAATGGTAAATTGAATTTGAGAATAATGTCTTAGAAGAAAGGCTCACCTATTTTCTGCGAACATTTCACTTCAAGTGACTACACAGCAAATATAGTCTAGTTCCCTATTGTTATTTTAACATGGAAGAGAAACACTACCATTAAAAAGTATAAATTTGCCATTTGCCATTTAAACATTTTTTTTTTTAAATTTTGTACACAGTAGTACAACCCCATTTCCAAAAAAGTTGGGATGATGTGCAGAATGTAAAAAAAAATAGGATGCAATAATATGCAAATCATGTGAACCAAATTTTTTAAATGAACATACTACAAAGACAACATATCAAATGTTAAAACTGAGAAATTGTTTTGTTTTTTGAAAAATGTATGCCTACTTTGAATTTAATTTCAACAACATGTTCCAAAAAAGTTGGGACGGGGGCCTGTTTACCACTGTGTTTCATCACCTCTTCTTTTAACAACACTCTGTAAGTGTTTGGGAACTGAGGAGGCCAAATGCTGTAGTTTAGAAAGTGAAATGTTTTCCCATTCTTGTTTGATATAGGATTTCAGCTTCTCAACATTTCTGCATCTCTTTTGTTGTATTTTTCATTTCATAATGCGCCAAATGTTTTCAGTGGTGACAGGTCTGGACTGCAGGCAGGTCAGTTTAGCATCTGGACTCTTTTAATATGGAGCAATGCTGTTGTAATGCATGCAGAATGTAGTTTGGCATTGTCTTGCTAAAATAAGCAAGGCCTTCCCTGAAAAAGATGTTGTCTGGATGGCAGCAGATGTTGCCAAAACCTGTATTTATCATTCAGCATTGATGGTGCCTTCACAGATGTGCATGTTACCCATGCCATGTACACTAATGCACCCCTATACCATCATGAATACTGGCTTTTGAACTGTGTACTAATAACAAGCTGAGTGGTCTTTAGCCCAGAGGACACAGTGTCCATGATTTCCAAAAAGAATTTCAAATGTTGATTTGTTGGACCACAGGACACTTGTCCACTTCCCCTTAGTCCATTTTAAATAAGCTTGGGCCCAGAGAAGGTGGCAGCATTTCTGGATCCTGTTTATATATGGTTTCTTCTTTGCATTTTAGAGTTTTAACTTGCATTTGTGGATGCAGCGATGAACTGTGTTCACAGACAGTAGTTTTTAGAAGTGGTTCTGAGCCCATGCAGTGATTTCCACCACAGAATCATGTCTGTTTTTAATGCAGTGCTGCCTGAGGACCCAAAGATCACGGCCAGCAAATACTGGTTTTTGGCATTATCCCTTGAATACAGAGATTTCTACAGATTCTCTGAATCTTTTAATGTTATTATGTACTGTAGATGATAGAAAGAAGAAGTTCTTTGCTGTTTTATGTTGAGAAACATCATTCTTGAATTGTTGCACTATTTGATTGTGCAGTCTTTCACAGAGTGGTGAATCCATCCTCATCTTTACTTCTGAAAGACTCAGCCTCTCTGAGATGCTTTTTTATACCCATATCATGTTACTGACCTGTTGCCAGTCAACCACCAGCTGCTTTTTTAGCATTACACAACTTTACCAGTCTTTTGTTGCCACCGTCCCAACTTTTTTGCAACGTGTTGTTGGCATCAAATTCAAAATGGGCATATATTTTTCAAAAAACAATAAAATTTCTCAGTTTCGACATTTGATATGTTGTCTTCGTACTATTTTCAATTAAATATAGTGCTTAAATAATTTGCACATCATTGTATTTTGTTTTTATTTACATTTTGCATAATGTCCCAACATTTCTGGAAATGGGGTTGTACTTGGGAATTAAAGTGAACTTATGTTTTGAATATTACAAACCATTTGCCGAAAAGTAAATGTTTTTTTAATTGTTTGTCAATATTTCGAGACTCCTGTGAATAGAGATAAATGATAAATAATATACTGTAATTTTCTCTCTATATAACAGTGGGGTCCAAAGTCTGAGACCACATTAAAAATCTAGAACTTTTTCTTTTAAACTTGGAAATGAACAACACAGTTTTAGAATTTTAAAATTATATATGTATATGTTAAGTTATATGTAAGTGAAAAGTTGGCACAAGTAAAATGAAGTATTCAAGTTTGTACACTATTTCAAGGTCACTATTCAAATTGAAGCAGATTTGTCAAATTGACCGTGTTGAATCCTTTAGTATTATTTCTTCTATTGAAACACATGTTCAGACCACTCAGGGATGGATTTGATCTACTGATCAGAGACTGTCAGGTTGAGGTCCTGCTCTAAAACTCTGAAATTAATTTTCAAATTTTAAAGATTCTACTTGTCACTCAAATTGTAGTGATAAAGTACAAAACAGTGGTAAATAGAGGCATTTTCTGTAGTGGTCCTAGACTTTTGGACCTCACTGTATATGTAAATAATATACTATAATTTACATTCTTTTTTTTGTCAAGTTAACCGCCTTGAGATTTGATCTCCACTTCTGAAATATAATGCATTGTGGGTGTTAATTGTATTGTAACCTTCTCAATGTTATTGACCTTTCACACTTATAGTCTTCTACAGCTCTGTTCATCATTCTGGACACTAACATTTCTTCATTTTCATTTTCATCTTCCTGGTGCCCTACTAACTATTTGTAAGCTGTAAAGTTATACAGCACTAACATATTAGTCTAATCATTTTATTAACTTATCTGCAACCAGACTTTGAAACTTTTGAACTGTAGTGTAGCTCCAAGAATATTCTTGGGCTTGCCAACTAGTTAAATATGTGAACTTTAAAAAAAAAAAAAAGTAATGATGATATCCATTATACACTTAGAAAGCTTCCTGTATTGTAACAGTAAATGTAATGTATCATCATATTGTCCATACCTAGTTTACACTTGCCTTTATTTCTCTCTTTTCCCTACAGCCATATGATGTGAACCTGCAAGTGACATCAGTGCTGTCGAAACTGTCGCTGCTACCGCACCCTCACTTGCACGAGTACCTGCTGGATCCCTACATCAACCTGGCACCTGGCTGCAGATCCCTGTTTGCTGTCATAGTCAGGGTAATGCTGTTTATCTTTGCACACTAGACAGTTTCCTCTCAGTCGATATAATGTGTGCTCATGCTCAGATGTGTAGACCTCATCCTTCCTTATCCACTGTAAGCCAATTCTTGTGTCCATTGATGCATCAGGTGGTGGGAGACTTGATGTTGAGGATTCACCGTATTCCTGATTTCACCCCTAAACTGCTGCTGGTGAGGAAGAGGCTGCTCGGGCTGGAGCCAGAGGGCTTGAGGTAACACACATTTGCTCAGCAAACGTTACAGGACAGTTAATACAATTTGTAATGTGATCGAATTGTTGCTCTTGTTTAAATATTTGGTGCAGTTTGGTGCAACAAAGGCTTTGAACTAATAGCTACTAAAATGCACATTAAGTGCATTTGCCCTGCTCTTCATTATGTTGGTCCAAAAGGCACAGGCTTTTAGTGCTTATTATTAAACGTGGAACTTGGGATGGGCATATCAGTCAATTTTGTTATCAGAATTTGTGACGCATTATTCAAAAAATATTCAGATACACTTCCTGTAGTGTGTACTGCGGTCTGCAAAAACATCACTGCATGTATAGTCGTGTGCGATAGTTTGGCTGCCCTTGATCAAGTGACATGTTTTGTTGATTTTCAAGTGAATAAAGTGAAGATATCTTTTTCAGGGAACACACTTCTGCACATATTTTATGCGCAATTACTGTTCATTTGCTGAATTATAATTTAACAAAAATCACTTTCACTGTGCAAAAGTTCTGACACATTTTATGTCGTATGAATTATTTATTTATTTATTTTTATTATGTTTAATTCAGCAAAGAAATAGAAATTACACACTAAAATTAGCAGATGATGTCATTTTTAAGTTTGTTCCCATGTGGAGATTGTGTAACTTTATTTTCACTTAGAGTGTTTGTAGGGCAGAGATAAAAAGCAGTTTTGAAAAAATGATAAATTGGTATCTATTTCAATTTCCATTTGTGGCAGGGGGGTGACGCATCTTGCCATATACATGTATCACATCATAGCTCATGGTTAATTTGCTCATTTTAATGCACAGAGCCACAAACTTTGTTTCTGCTTCCTCTGCATCGTCTTCCAGCGTTCTCAGTGTTACATTAAAAAAGCACATTCGACTTGATATGAAAGAAACTAATTCTACTCAGTGTGAAAATACCTCATGACGACTAAACATCAAGCTATAATTAAGCACAAAAAATAATGTTTCTGATTCTGTTTTCCTTGAATCAGCACACCAGTGTGACTTTCGCTCATCTTGCGGCAGCCTGTCACCATTATTGTAAATGAAGTCAAATCATAACTGAAGTTTTAGAAAATGGAGTGGTGTGCAGAAAGATCATTCAGACAAAATGTAAAGAACAAAAAACAGTGTCATTGGTAAGTGATCCTAGCCCGCTCTGTAATCGATGTTGTTGGTGACTAAACATCTACTTCTTGCAGTTTTGTTTTGAATATGCTATTTTATTTTAATGGGTAAATATTTAAACTGTTAAGGAAAAAAGTGTCATTCTCTCTCTCTTTCATGCACACACAGTACATACACACGCACACCCTCACACTAACCGTGAACTGATGGAAGTTACATTTGATGAGCTAATGACATTACATGACAGCCATAATCTGACCTTAATCCAACATTTAATCTAATGTTAGTAAACAGACTAAAAAAGGGACGATTTATTTGCATTGCCATTCGTAATCTCAAAATGACGTTCCTTTTTTTTTTCACAATGGCATGGGCATCCCTAAACTGTATGCTCATGTTCTCTAAATAGGCCGTCTTCAGGCTCTTAAGTACCTTCATGGCAGCCATGTCCTCTAGCGCTGATTTTCCCTGTAGTGTCTTTCTGACCTGGATGTGGCATTTGGGTGATTTGTGGTCCTTTATGGCTTCCAATTTTAGTTTTTTTTAGTCATAACAAAGTAACTAATAGTTCTCTTATTCACATCTGAAGTTTGTTGACAACCTACCTAACAGAACATTGTCCGATTTTCGTGGGGCGTTGTCTGCCTTTCTTCACTTCTCATTAAAAAGTCTCCTCCTTGCTCCCGAGTGGCGCAACTGTCTAAGCGTTGGCCCTATCATCAGGAGATCGCGAGTTCGATCCCTGGTGATGCTACAGCCGGGAGTCCAAGAGAGCACAATTGGCCTCGCTCTCTCTGGGTGGGTAGGATGGCCCCTCCTTCTCCCCCCATCACTCAGCGCGATGCTAGTCAGCGCAGGCGTCTGTTAGCTGACGTAACAGATCTGGCGGTTGGCGCTTTCCTCCGAGCGCGTTCAGCTGTCCAATGACGTTGCGTGAGCGGCAGTTCGAAAAGAGGCGGTGGCTGGTTTCACAGGTCTCGGAGGAAGCCTGTGTTAGCCTTCACCCTCCTAGCATTGATAGCATCGTGTGATTGGAGGAGTCCTAACTAGCGGGTGGAATTGGAAACGACTAAATTGGGGGGATAAAAAAAAAAAAAGTCTCCTCCTGGGAGGTTTAAGCTGAAGGCCTCTTAACCCCTGCTATGTAACGCCATGTTTTTTTGTTTGTTTGTTTGTTTTATTTGTTACAACGCTAGCCAAGGTTACTTGACCTGAGGGGATTCTTTTTAACCACTGGTCACTAGTTAGTTTTCTCTGCTCAAGATGCCTCAGTGACCCCCATGTCTCTTCATGAAAGTGTCTAGGTGAAACAAGTAGACTCACGATTCAATCTGCATTGTAGAATGTAACAAATCACTCTGCTACAATTTGCATTATTTTTATTTACCCGCCACTGTGGCTGGTAGGTTGAGCAAATTCATCACTACACAAAATGACCCGTATTTGGCAGGTGGTGGGTGCTAATTTCCAACCCTACTGTGTGTTGCAAGTCAGATTGGAGCGAAAATCTGAGTCCCTTGAGAACCACTGTCTTATTGCACCTTCTGCATTCAGCACAGTGAACAGTTCTGTGCCTGCTTTCATCAGTGTGACACTCTTCTTTTCTCCTTCAGTATTGATCACGTTACGTTGCTGGAGGGAGTGATCGTTCTGGAGGAGTTCTGCAAGGAGCTTGCGGCCATCGCCTTCGTCAAGTTCCACGCCTCCACCTCCACCTCCCCCTGAGCCTCTCCCTGCTGCAACCCGGGACACGAGCATCGCTGGTGCGCCCGAACCGGCGCCCAGAGGTGGGCGGCTGACACAGGAACCACAAACTGAACACCATTCATCCCTCAGACTGCTGCCCACAGCAGGACACGCTCATAACGGGATTTGATCCAGGGGATACGTCCATGTCTATGGCCACCCACGCTAATCTGATGGACAGACCGGCAGAGGAGATCAGGACGAAGAAGCCCAGAGGTCAATCTCTCAAAGCTTTGACGCTGGGACAAGGATGTAGTAGCATTCACACGCCCCCGTCGTCTCTCGTTCTGTGTCTGTCTTTCGTCTGTTTTTTGATGGAGTCATACAGTTAGCCCCCACCACACCTTCTTTGTAAGACTTCTCTTTCATTTTTAATTTTTGTGTTCATCTTTTAAGCCATCTGTTGTTGCGTTCCTGTGGCTTTGCACCTGCTGACTTGAGGAAATCGTCTATTATTTATTCTCTTCCCGAGATAATAGTTCTGTAGTAGCTTGAAAATATATATGTAATGCCAAAAATTAAGTTCAAAAGCAGTTGCTGATTTAAAAGCTCTAATTAAGAGAACTTAATGTACATGGAAATTGACACGTTTGTGTGTGAAATTGAAATTTGAAAAGCTACTGTAGTTACAGTAACAAATACTATGCTTACATTCTGCTTTTTTCTTATGTTTTTTCCTTGAAGGAAATTGTTAGATAGGCTGAACAAGAATGCCAAACGGTGGATCAGACATTACAAACACAGCCTAAAACTTAAGCTGCGATGTTGACATTTAGCAGCTCAGAATTTGAGCTGTTTTTAAACATAAAGATCAGCAAACAGACACGCTTTAGGGCTGAGATGATCAACTCGCTAAACAGAACGTAGGCTCTGAACGGAGAGATCGATTCGAATCGGACCGCGCGCATTTGCACGTCGCAAAAACCGGATCCCACTGGAACATCCCTAGAGAACTGTGCATCCTGTACATGTCCATAACAGTGTTTATAGACAGTCCTATTTTCATGGTTTAACTTTTACTCCACTGCATTAATATTGTGTGAATGTGTGTGCCTTGTACTTCTCTAGCTCTACTCATCGCTCTGTTTTTGCTTTTTAAGTTATTTATTGAGGATAAGCTGCAAGCATAGTTCAAAAATATTGCTCTGCTTAGGAGTGAAATGTTGTTATTATAGGGGATCTACTTTTTTTTAAGCAGTCATTATGAAACGTACACCAGCAATAGTGTTATCCAACAGGCTCTCTCTCTTCTCTTCCTGTAATTTAGGCTTAAGAGTGAAAGTGCATTTACGAGGTCAGCAAATGCCAAGCGGTCTGTCTGAATCAAGCCGAAATGGACAGCTGGCGTTGGAAACCCCCTTAAGGCTTGTTATTAAGCGGATTGCGGAGGGTTTTGGGAAATCTACCAGTACAATTTTTTTGTAGAAATTCTTTGTAAAACCTTGTAACTTTGAGAAGTTGTGATGGATTATGTATAGTCGTATGCAAAAGTTTGGGCGCACCTCTTCAAGTGATATTTTGTTGATGGCGTAAAAATAAGTACACATCCTGACTATTTGCTGACTTTAGCATATAAAGGGGGGAAAAAGCACAAAATATGGCCTGTTCAGAAATTATGGCCCATTTTATGTTTTATTTTTTTCAGTATGCTAAACTCAGCATATTATGAAAGCCTCTTTCTGCCACTAAAAAAAATATATAGCTGTTTATTAAGTCATAATGAAAGTTTCCCATAATTATCACTTAGTATCTCATAATTATGACATAGCATCTCATAATTGACTTGCTATGTCATAATAATGAGATCATACCTATGACTTAGCATCTCCTTACGAATTACTATTTCAAAATAATGAGAATCTGTGCCTTAGTATTACACAGGTTTGACTTACTATCTCATAATAATGAGGCCCTGTCTCATAAGTATGACTTAGTATCTTAATATTGTGACTTGCTATCTTCTAATAATGAGATCTCATAATATTGATAGAGTTAGTATGTCATAATTATGAGGAAAGTCAGTATTATGAGATCTTGTATCGGAAACTTTACCTTTTTCCCCCCAGGAGCAAAAACAGGCTTCCATAGCAAATAAATAAAAATTGTGCATAATAAATTTGCAGCAGTGCCCTTTGACTTAGAAAATCAACTAAACATGTCATTTGACAGGGGGTGTTCAAACTTTTGCATGCGACTATATCTATCACTCTGAGCCACGCTCATCAGTGCCCCCTACCTTGCGCAATACTTGATCCAGGAGTAGAAAGTTGAATGATTTGCACATTCACAGTAGACGACGTTGTCCTTTATATGTGTTAAGTGTACACGTACATTTAAATGTTTTTATTTTCATTTTATTTCCTTTACAAACCAAAGGGTGCATCACGTCAGCGTGACTTGTCTGTTGTAGAGATCTTTTTATTCTCAATCATGCACATATGTTGTTTTAATCCAACTAAAGCTCCGAAGCTTTCTCTATTTATGTATATACGTGTACAGCGATAGCCGTAGTGCTGTCTGGGTGTAAAATGCATGCAAGCTCATTCATTGCATTTTGGTGTGGTAAGTAGTAAATGTCCCCTTAACTTTTCCATCCGAAGTCCTTCCTTCTCTCAGTCCCACACCTTTTCTTTTTCTTTTCCTCAATTGCCAATTAATGGGGACGTGACAATGTGACAAATGCCTTACTTTATATGCAGTGGACATCTGCGGCCTGTATTTACACATTCTTGGTTTTAAGTCTTACACTTGCGCCCTTATTTCAGTGTCTGTTTTTTAAAGAGTACAAAAGATGTGTTTCATGGATAGTGTAAAAGAAAAAAAACAGCTGCAGAACTGTCATTTTAATTAATATCAGAAAATATATATATATATATGTTCTTTCACTGGTTTTCATTCACTTAGACCAGCCACTGTTCTGCTTGACCGATGTGTACAAATGTAGCTTGCCACAGCATATTGCCTCAGATTAGTGAAGTAAAAGAACAGTTTTTGACTTGTGGTGTGACTGTCACTGCCATGATGCAACAGTGATTGTTTAGATGAGCAAGACTGTGTTGCATGCTCACATTTTCTGTCCATTGAATTCGAGTCGGGGCTGGTGATGCCATTTAAGCGTCTTAAAGGGAATTGCCCACTGCACTATTATTACAGGTCCCATAGACACTGTACAGTGTACATTGCATTGACACCTTATATTCTGCATTGAATGTGTCTGTTGCACCTTTCATCTATTTTGTATCTTTAAAATGGCTTTCTTATACTCTTCCCAATTAAAATATTCGCTTTCTTCAAGTAGACGATCTTCTGGACTTTTATTTTAAGACACATGTAGGTTTGTTTGTTGTTAAAAGTGGTTAGAACTGTTACATGAAATGGATTTGAATACCCTGCCTGATACCTGAAACACTGTTTTTTATGGTGGAGAGGTACGTGCAGGGCATTGTGAGGCAAAATAGTCCTGAGAGAAAACGTTGTTTTTCCAGGTGTATTTTTTTCCATTATCATTACCATTACTTCCAAAAACTCAGAAGATGCATGTAGGTTCACTGGTTGGATTGGATAGTTAATAAAACGGCTTAATTTGTGTTTTAGCATTGTGAAAATTCTTAAGTCTGAGATCTGCTTTGTTTTCATGTCAACTTCAGTTAAGACTGAAGTTCTGCAATGGCTTCTGTCCTAACAGCAGCTCTTAAGTCCATAATCTTATTTCCAGACAAGAAAACAGTATTACAGAAACATCCTAAGTTTCCAAAATATCCTAAATATTTTCTTAACTTTAAGACAAACCTAGACCTGTCTTAACTTGTTTTAACCGTCTGTTTCTACAGATTTCTAGAAGCAGTGTCAGGCAGCACAGTTCACTATAAGTAGCAATGACGCTACATTTATCTACTCTGAAAACGGCGCTTTGACTTAAGAGTTTTTTTTCTAACAGCGTTTAAAAGCCTCAGACGATGCAGAAACGATCCCCACTGTCCCTCTTATTACCTTCGCGTGTTATTGTTGATGAAAACTCGTCAGATACACTATTACAGGGATGGCGGTGAATAATGAGGAGACAGAGCTGAACGTGTCTGTTTACTCGGCTAAAGCGTTTGGGAAATGAAACTGTGGAGCGGCGACGCTCTGATAAACAGCACGAAGAGCTGAAACAATATTCTTAACTCTCAGTTTATCGCGCTTAGTTTTATTTGACCTTCTCTACGCCAGTAACGGCAGCCAATGTTAGCTGTCTGGCTAACTAACTTGATTACGTGTTTACTAGATTCAGCTGTGCGAGTATGGTCGGTTGCTAGGCAACAGACACGACAGTTGATTGTCGACTTCAATCGAGTAAGTTAAGATTTCCTAACTTGAGGTAAGGGAAGATGCTGTAAGATAAGATAAGATTCTTAAATTAAGTTTTGCTTCTGTAATACGAATTTGTAAAAAAATCTTATCTTGACCTGTCAAATCTTAAGACAAAAATATAAGAATTTTCTGTAATACGGCCCCTGGTTCCCGTCACCACCACAGCGACGAAGTCTAAGTTGGTAGCGTAGGTATCGGCCACCTCAAAGCAAACCATCGGGAATCTAAGCTAGCTGTAAATAAATGAAAGCACTTTACTCACCCAAATTAATGTTTTTCGGGAGAGAAACGTGTGTAGCTTAATGTCCAAGACAGTTATTGAAAAAACAGTTTTTTCAATAATAACGTTTTTGTTTACTTTGACACTTGTATCGCTAGAATGATGGGGGTCCCCCAATATCGGCCACCTCACTTCCGGTTTTCCGTAACTCATCTTTCAGCCTAAAATTCAGCGTATAAAACTGTAAAAAACATAAAACTTATGTATATTTTCATTAGTAAAATGTGACGTTATTGTATTGTTTTATTATTCAGCTTGATTTGCTTGTTTAACTAAGTATGGAGCACGGCTCTTTGCTGCGTGCCTGATTGTGCCAGTCAAATGAGAAGTCGCGTTTACGCATCATTCCTACCAAACTCAATGCTTCACAATGAGGTTCAGTCTGTCCTCAGTGGGCAGCCCTACGCCATATACGTAACACTACCATGGCGGGAAACTTTTCTTTACCTCAGAGCGCAGAAAGCTAACCGATAAGCTAACTTTCTACACAGATAAATATCCATCGCGGAATGAAAATGAGTTGTGTGTTCCATGCGGTTTTACACACGCAGAATTACAACGTTGTTGGCGACATTTAAATATTGTTTTCAGATATGATTTTTTGCTTGAATAAAGTTTAAATGCCCTTGTGAGGCGCGAGCTTATGTGTTTTGAATTTCGCCTGAGCAATTGGCGGAGAGAGAGAGATGACATGCGCAATACGCGCAAGTGGCCGATATTGGGGGACGGCTGATGTTAGGGGTAGAAAAAAACTGTAAACTGTTAAGTTTCTCCACAGTGAACTTTTTCAAACCAAACCACTCTTATGACCCGTGCATGTCAACCATTGAACTATACAAAAAACACAGTATCAGGGATTACTAGGGTCTCTCAGAGAGCGTTTTCTCTCAATGGGAGGCGGCAGTGGAGGAAGGGGGACGTTAGACATGATATTATTTGTTAATATTATTGTTCCCACCTGCTGGGAACGTAATCAGAAATCAGATGACGTTTTAGAGGCACATCATTCTACCAATCAAAGATTACAGGGAAAACATGATTATTGTTGTTTAAATGTTATAGTGTGGTGAATCAGGCTTAATATGACCAGGGACTTGAAATAATAAGACGAAGAAAAGGTCAGTTTTAAGATCACATAAAAACAATTACATGTATGAGGTTGTGTAAATTATGAAGGAATATTTAAGATTCATTAAATTGTTATTTATCTATTCGCCAATCAGCTAGTACTCTGGCTATACTAGGACTGGGAGACTTTAGACAAAGTAAAAGGAAAAATTTGCTTTTAGTCAAACACTGTAAACCCTGATAAATTATGTTTACTCAAAATATTAGAGGTAACTCGTTGCCTCAAATGAAGTAAGTTCTCAAACTCAGTATTTAAAGTTGTCTGAAATTATACATGGAGTTAAATACACTCAGACTCTTAAGTTTAACAAAGTATAAGTGCACTGTTGCACAAGTAACTACATCAATATTTAATGTCTGAATTTCCATGACATTCACATAATTTTAATGATCACGAGCTGTAATGTAAAAGAAAATTTCTTCAAAGTTACACACTCCAACAACTGTGTTCAGAAAAAACGAGTTGGCAGTTACTGCATCATTATTTTGTTATGTTACAACCACACTGAGAACTCAGCAGAGACCCATTTTATAGTTAACATACCTAAAACATGTAAAGTGCACCCAAACTTGCATTGAGCCCATATATAACATGTGAATGTGTTGTTTCTTCCAAAACAACATCTGAAGGAAAAATAAGATATAAAAAACAGAAGTCAACCAATTTGCTAGGAATTCTGGGTAACTCTGCCCCGTATTCTCCCATTGCTTGTGTTTTTGAGTTTGTTCTACTCACTAAAATAAGTGCACTTGAGTTTATAGCTAGCACATTGTTCAGCTAGTGTAGCTAGCATTAGTGCTCCAAACTTCCCTGATAAAGTAATGTTGCACAAAATATTGTACATTTTTGCCATATGCCCTCATCTATGTCTTGGTTTTTGGAATTGTGATTATTGTGCTGAATCAACTCTTGAAATTTTAATGGGATTGAACGGCCTAATGAGTTTGTATAGACTCATCACACCCACAACAGTCCACCGAGCGCAGAGCAGAAAAATAGTTACAGCAAGTTATAAGACTTTGTGCATTGAGCTCCTTATCAGGTCTTATTGTAAGATGCTTCCATCCATAATGACATATTTTCTTCTTATCAGCAATATTTTAGAGTTCCTAGAAGCCATTTTCAAATCTGATATACAGTATGGCAATATATGGATTTCACATTTATGACATATATTAGCATTAATGGATTTTCCTTATATCCAACCCGTATTTGTCACATATGGACATATATGTGACATACATGCCAAATTATTTGAAATTGGCCATTTTCAGATATTGAGCATGTATTTCAGCCATATATCAACATACATTTGTGTAACACATGTATTTAACAATATTTGATAGAAAACATTCACATATGGATGAGATATATTACTCAGGTAAATAGCTCAACAGATATGAAATATGTTTAACTTTTGTCATATTTTTAAAATAAGAATATTTAGACATGCTTCTTCTTTCTTCCACGCACTTCCTAAAGTAAAAGCTAGTATAAAATGCGATAAAAACATTCAGCATGAAATAAATGAAAATATCGTTCACTGAAAAATTTCAATAAATTAATATTTAAAAGCAAACAGGTAAAATAGTAACAATTAGAACTGTGGCTACAGGTTTTATACATATGTGTTCACTCACCTAACAACAGATATTAAGCACAAATGTCCACTAAACGTACACAATACATTTCGTTTATTTTTGAAATACATGACTGGACATGATATACGTGCATATATATGGCCATATATCAGATACAGCCTATATAAAAAAAAAAAAAACAATAAAAGAAAAACTTTTTCTTTCAGCTGGCTGTTCCTTCAAGCATTTTCTGACATGCAGGCTAACATGCTCATTGCCAACAGGAGGGACTTGAGGGGGCGACGCTCTTGACATTGAACCACTTTCTATTTTTGGGTCACTGCTGTCCCATAAAACCTCATTCCAGCTGTTGCTTTGGCTATCGCTGCAACGGAGTCCTGGCTGCTTGCGCGAACTTCATTTCCCAGGAGCGCTTGCGAGGACACGCCCAAGCATCGTTGCCTCGGCTTGTTGAAATGTCAGGTTGGCACTTTCGCTATGAACGTCCGTGGAGAAGTAACGTTACCGCGGACACGCGGGGACACAGCTTAGCTCCGGCGGGGAATCTCCAGTCCTGTTAACCGTCTCGGAGCTCCTGCTATGTCTGCGAGAGGTGAGTGTTTGATGCTCACTGCGACACTCTGCATCACTGTTTACTCGATCTTGACGGGACCTGGATTGTCTACAGCACGTTTTAGTGTTTTTCCTGCTCTGACACACCTGAAACAAATTCAACATATTATCAACAAACCCTTCACGAGGGGTTAAATTAGCTGCGTAAGATCAGCTTATTTGTCCTGTATACTGTCCTGTATTTTTTTAATGTTTTAAAGCGTTTTTTTTTAGCGTTGTAATGTTTATAGTAATAGAATAATAGATAATAACAGAGTAATAGAAAACCCTGAACCAACATTCAAAAAAAAAAAAAAAAATTGAGGAAAAAAGTTTACATTAA